GAATTGGAATTGGTGCATGCCTACTCAGAAGATCAAGTTCAGATTATTATCTCTTGTTTTTTTCTTTATTAGAATCGTCAAGAAATAGCTGATCTTCGAGTATGTTTAACTATTAGTGAACAAGAACAAACACGTTTAAATGAACGTTTATTAAGCAATGAACAATTATCTAAAGCTTTACAACGTATTCATGTAACTGTTGAAAAATTATTTCTTGTACTTGATTTTTCATCTGAAATGCTTAATAATGAATCTACATCAAGTCCTGATGTACTTATGCTTCAATTATCGACTCATAAAAATAAGTCAGGTAAATTTTTGGATTCTTTTTTTATTCTCAAATAAATAAATTTATCTTTTTAGATTTTATAAATTCATCTACAGAAAACATTTCCAAAATTGATTTATGTGATGTAGAAAAATTAGAATCAAAATTAGATCATATTATCGATCGTCTTTTATCAATTCGTAGTGAATTAATAGCACGTCAATTTGAGAATGATCTTCAATCAAATATGTCATGTCGTTTGCAGTGAATAAAAATGTCCAATTTTTTTTTAATCAGATATTTTTCTTTTTATAAAAATTATTATAAATAAACAATTTCTTAAATTATCTGTTTTATTTCTAGACAAAAAAGAAAGATTATGATAGTCAATAATAATCATTTAGGTGTAAATACATTTGTAGCTAGTAGTCACGGAAATGATCAATGTGGTACAAATGGTTTACCATTAACACCAAATTCTATAGTTATTATTGGACGTTTTCAATCTTTAAAAACGATTGAACATCCAAATCTTTGTCGATATGTTGATATTCGAAAAGGCACACATGGTAAAATATGAAGAAGAAGAAAAAAAATAAATAAAATTCATATTTTCTTTTTTAAGAACGATTAATTGTTGTTAGTGAATATTATGAAAGAAGTTTTGAATGTTTAATAAATGAAAAAAAATTATTAAGTATTGAACAAATTCAACAATGGTCACATCAAATACTTTATGGATTAATATATTTACAAGACAAACAATTATATATGAGAAATTTATCTTTAAGAAATATTCGTTTAACACAATCAGTAAATAAATTTTGTAGAAAATAAATTTCACTATTTTTTGTAAATTTAGGATCAAAATATTAAAATACAAAATTATGGTCTTTGGCATATGACACAATATGGTACATGTGTTACCTTTCCTATTGGGTATATATTTTTGTATTTTCAACAAAAATTAACTTATTTGTTATATTTATTCTAGTGACCCATATTATTTAGCACCTGAATGTTTTGCACTTGATTTATCATTTAAAGCTATAATTGCTGCTAGTAGTAGTCCGCATGAAGCTGAAATTAGTGATCCAGCTAATGCAAAAAGTTGTATTTGGTCATTTGGTATTATACTTCTTGAACTATGTTTAGTATGATTAATTTTAATTAGAAAATAAATCAAAGTAATGTTTGTATTTTTGATTAGGGTCAAAGATTATATGGAACACAGCCAGTTTCTGTACCAATGTCAACAAGTGTTCGATGTTTAAGATTAAATGTACGTAGTGCATTAGATATTTTATTACGACAAAATGGACTTGATCAAGATGAACGTTTGAAAAGAAATACAACACAATTTTTTTTACCAATTATTAGAAAATGTTTGAATGTTCAAGTTCAAGATAGGTTAGTTATATATTTCAATTTGAGTTCGAATAAGACTTATATGCAAATAGTAACTATATCAAAACTAATACGTCTGAGATATTTTAAATACTACACAAAGAAATGAATACTTTCAGATTCAAATGATTTTATTTGTTTTTAGTTATTTCGAAACATTCTTATTTTAGATTTTCAATCAGTACTGTTGAATATTTGATAGAACTACTGTGTAGTTCAATGATGGAAATCCCAGCTCTCCATCTTGTTCCTATTGAAAGTTATTCAAAAAATGTTCACTCGCCTTTTATTTTGAACTGAACAGTAGTCAGCGTAGCATTATCTGCTTTATATAAATGTAAATTGATGATGAAATTGCTTAATCTAGCAACGATTGGAATGCTTATCCTAGATAATAGAACTATATTTTTTTTTACTCAATATTGCCTAGACGATATAATTTCTACTAACTATTAATGCACATAAAAAACTTTCGAGTTATTTTTCTTATATAATTTTTTTATTTATTTTCATAGACCAACTTTTGCAGAACTTTTGAAAGAACTCGATGGAAAACCATATATTCCACCTATTCAACGTTCTCTTCAATTAACATTATTCAATGGTATTACTCCTGTTCTTGATCATAATTTAGATTTAACGGATTTTAAAAATCTTGATAGTTAGTATTGATTTTCTTATCTATATATATATTAAAACATTTTCTATTTGTATTAGCTAGTCCATTTCGTTGTCGAACAATAGATCAGATTTATTATTTATGGAAATTAGCTGGTGGTGATTTAACAGCTGTATTAAAAAATGCTGGCCTTATTAAAATATCTTCATCAATTAGTAAAATATCAAAGTATAATAAAAAAACCTTTTTCTGTAGAAAAAAATTACTAAAATATTTTAATTCTAATTAGATTTGTTTCTGATCATGGTGATGTATATGGACTTCAAAGAGATATAAATACTTTATTTGATGATACATCATATAAACTTTCATTACAAGAACTTGAAAATCGTTTTAATGATATGCCTATTGAAATACTTCATCCATTACTTGAAGGAGGGTAAGAGTAGAAATGTTAAACAATATTCAAAAGACATTTATTTATTATTAGTGATTGTGAATTTGAGCAACGTCAAGAGGAATTTGATAAAATGATTGAACGACAACCATTAGCTGTTCGTGAAAATGATTTTGAATATCAAGTAAAATTACAAGACCAAAACGAACTTTATATTTATTTTTTTGTTAATTTAGTTTCATCGTTTAACTTTATTTGAACGTCTTCTCGCTGCATATCCATATCAAAAACAACGACTATATACCGAAGCGCGAAAAGATATTCCACCACTCTATCGATCATTTCTTTGGGCGGCAATACTTGAAATATCTGTACGTAAATAATTTAAATAAATATTTAGTATTATTATTATTATTTAGAGTAATGTCAATGATGTTTATAATCGTATTAATAAAGATGATATTGCGCCAACAGTAATACGTCAAATAGAAGTTGATATACCACGTTGCCATCAATATGATGAACTTTTATCATCACCTCAAGGTCATAAACGAATGAAGAATGTTTTAAAGGTATACTTTTCTTTTTACTATAAAACAAAAAACAATATACTTAAATTTAATTCTTAGGCTTGGATAGCAAGTCATACAAATTTAGTTTATTGGCAAGGTCTTGATTCATTGTGTGCACCATTTGTTTATTTAAATTTTAATAATGAAGCACTTGCATACGCTTCATTATCAGCATTTATTCCGAAATATTTAAATAATTTCTTTTTAAAAGATAATTCATTGATTATTAATGGTAAAAGAATTCTTTTAATGTAAAGAAGAAATGAATCAAAAATCATTTTTTTAGAATATTTGGCTGTTTTTTCACATTTAATTGCATTTCATCATCCAGATTTATCAAATCGATTAGAGACAATCGGATTTATTCCAGATCTTTATGCTATTCCATGGTTTTTAACTGTTTTTGCTCGTAAGTTAAAACTCATACTGTATATTTTATGAAGGAAGAGGGTTAAAATGTGTTTGTGACATATTTACATTGATAATCTATTCTTAGATTGATAAAAAGAGACTATTATAAGTTTTATATAAATAGTTTTGAGTGGAGAGAAGAGTGTCTATTCTCTGATAAAAAGTTTGTTTACATCTTACTCAACAATGGATAATAGAATTAATTGTAAAAGAAAGTATAGTCATCGACGATAACATAAAATAAATAAAAGAAGTTATTTATATGCATATATACTATTCACTTTTCTCAAAGATATATTTCAATGCAAACAGAAATTAACTGTTCTATCAAGGAGAATTACATTGACAATAAAAATCTAGAAACGATAATTAGTTGAACAACAAGTATCATTAAAAACTTCTCCTTTTATTTGCTTCTGCTTACAAACACAGATGGGCGTAGAAGGTTTTCTCCTTGCCAAATATTCTATTTTTTATACTATCAGAAAATAGAACAATCTTTTACATTTTGTTGATACTGTCCAGTCACTAACTTTCTCGATGTGACCAATTATTTCGACCACGGTCATAAAAGTAAAATCATATTCATGGTAATTATTACGGTTCGTGATCATCATAACCGTGACTATGAGGTATGGACAGTTTTTTGTAAGTTATGAATTCTTTATTTAAACGCTGTCAATGAATATTTCAATATTTAATAAAAGAAACTTGTTTCATCAAGTAATTAAAATATGTAGCTCTTGATTACACTGAGTATTATTCTTAAACCTTGAAAATAAATACGTTTCAAGTTTTTTTATTACTAATACTTTAATATACGCTCTCTCTGTATATGTATTTGTAGAGAATACTTTCATTAGCAAAACCCATCAGTGATATACTTTTTTTTTACAATAGTTTTCATTAAATATATGAATCAACAAATTGCTCAAAATACTTTGATTATATGCATATTAAAAAGTTTTCTTTCCATTAACTCAAAGAATTTGTCTTGTTTTCTTTCCGCTATTGATAATACTCTTTCCTGTGATGACATCGTCAAATTATCATTATTTTCTAATAATATAGATGAACTCAATATATCTCTTAGAATCTATTTTTAATATTTAATGACAATCGATGTAAACAAACTTTTTATTTATTTATTCACTCGAGATTAAGATAAACGAATTAATTAATAAATCTTAGGAGATTTTAAATCAAAAATTTTCTCTATTGAATTTAGATGTATTTCCATTAAATAAAATTTTCCATCTATGGGACATGCTTTTACTTGGCGGTTCATCATTTCCACTTTGTATTGGTGTAGCTATATTAACACAATTGAAAGCTCTTTTATTAAAAGCTGATTTCAATGAATGTATTCTACTATTTTCGGAACTACCAGGTTTGATTTTATTTTTATTATTTACCTAAATATAAAATAATATTCTTTTGTAGAAATCGATATTGAACGTTGTGTTCGTGATTCTATTGATATATTTGCATCAACTCCACGTTCATGTACATATCGAGAACATGCAAGTGATTTAACAAATTATCAAATAAATAATGATCTCGTATGATTTAATTATATTTTTTTATCTTCTTTTTAAATTTTTTATTTTTCTAGGATATGAATCCATTTCCATTAGCTGATTTAAAATTTGAACGTTGTCCACGTATATCAGCCAATGATGTTGTTGAATTAAATGATCTTAAAGCACCAACAGCAAGTTTAAAAACATCCAAACTTCTTCTTATAGATATACGTACACCAGATGAATATATGAAAGCAGCATTACCAGCAAGTGTTAATATACCATATGAAAATGCATTTGATGATCAAAATCGTATAACTGACAATCGTTTACAACATTTACTTGATCAACATCGTTCATTAGTTAAAGTTGTTATTGGAAATAAAAATTATAAACAAATTGTTGATTTTACAAATAATTTAATTATAAATAATGCCACACGTGTATGTTTATTACATAAAGGTATTGATGTTTTTAAGACAACTGGAATGCTTTATGTACCAACACCATCAGATTTACCATAAGAATATAAATGACAAGATATATTCTTATTTATTTATTTGTTTGCGTTTGTTTGTTTTTTACATCTATTTTTTAAAGATTTGTTTTTCTGTCAAATTTGAATGACTATCGCCGGTGCAATAGGAGCACATAATTATCAAAATAATCAAAAAATTTTTTTGTAAGATATTTTCTTGTAATTACACAGATCTCTTTAATAGACAAAATTTGACTTTATTTAAGAAATTGATTTGAAACTTTTTGTTTTTTCATAATTGGTTAAATTTATCGAAGAATGAAAGAAAAGAAAACAAGATGTACCTAATACATACCTTGAATAGTTGACTACTGAATTAATGTATACTAACATCCGACCAATGGTAACAATCCTACAGGAAAAATAAAAAAATAATTTATATATTAATATGATATTACTTATCTTTATTTTGTTTTTTAACTTCAGATATTTTCAAGAAATTAAACAAAAATGCTTAATCATTTTCGACAAGTTAGATTTATTAATTATATATTTATTTCAAAATTCGAACATTTATATTTTTTGTATAGATTCTTCCTCGAACAATTCGTCCAACAATGATGTTGGCTAATGTTCGTTTTAATTCAACTCCAGCCGATAAATCTCCAGTAACGTTATAAATAATATTATTTTTGTAAACATTCATTTCTTTTCTAGGTTTCAGCAAATGTACCAAGTAGTCTATGGAAACTTGGTAAACTCAATCATTTAGCTGTTGCTGTTCCTAATTTAGGTAAATGAATTTAATATAAAGATTCATTTAAATACGTATACTCTTTTTTTAGATGAAGCAAGCAGTTTTTTCAAAAATGTTCTTCATGCTAAATCAGTTAGTGGCGCTGTTCCACTAAAAGAACATGGCGTTTATACCGTTTTTGTTGAATTTGGTAATACTAAAATTGAAGTAAGTTGATCATGAAGATAATCATAATAATAAAATGTATCGTTTTCAGCTTCTACATCCACTTGGTGAAAAAAGTCCAATAAAAAAATTCTTAGAAAAAAATAAAGCTGGTGGAATTCATCATATTTGTATTGAAGTATATAAAACAAAAACATGTATACTAATTTTTATTAATTTAATGTTTTTACTTAGGTTGATAATATCGAAGAAGCTATAAAAGATATTCAACAACAAAATATTCGAACATTGAGTGAAAAAACTAAAATTGGTGCTCATGGTAAACCCGTGATATTTCTTCATCCAAAAGATTGTGGTGGAATATTAATTGAACTTGAACAAGCTTAAATGATAAATTACAGTCATAAATACTTCGCTCATTTAATCATTTCCATAATTTGTTAACATTTATTTTCTCATTTCAAGCAGAAGAAAGAAAAAAGATCTGTTCTATTTTAGTCATGCCTACACTATTTCAACAACGAAAGTTTTCCGTTGATTACTAATACTTTTCTTTTTCTAGTTTATATTCATCCAACTTAGTTTGTTTGATATTATACAAATAAATCATAAGAACAAAATTTTTTCTATTAAATTATGATATTTCGTAGTTTTGTTTTATTTACATGTGATAATCATTGAATTGATTGATAAATACGAATCAGCATGAAAGGAAATCCGTCGCTACTAGTAATTAAAAAAGCTTATTAGTTCATCTTGAATAGCAAACAGACGAGAATATCAATATGGGTAATTTACCAAATGAACAAACTATTACGTCATCGTTAATATCAATAAAATACATAAATATGCCTAATTCATAATTGAAACGTCAACCACATGGAATTTATCAAAGAGAGAAAAAGAAAATAACTCGCAATCGATTATATTTGCCTACGGATAATAGAATTGGTAGATTATCGATAGGCGATAATACATCAGATCGAGTATCATTTACATATGTGATCTTAAGTAATGAAAAAATATTGCAAGTATGATCATTAACATTCCAACCAGAAATCTATCTGACAGGAATACAAAAAAAATCAGCTATATTTTTCAAAGATTATATAGTCCAGATAAGAAAACACCTGATGAAAAGAAAATACAATCTAGAAATTTTTTTGTTTTTCTAGTTTTTAGTTGATTGTTCATATGTATACAATTTTAAACAAGAGTACTATGATGACCACTCGTAGGTGATGGTGAATCATCGTTTGAACTCGATCCACATAAATCACGAGCTTCTCGACGTTTAACACTTAGAAAATTTTGTGCACCGGATGAAGTTGAAAGTGGAGCTGTTTTTGAACGTGAATATGGTTTGATTTCACGTAAAAGTGTCGTATCTGATGTTGTAGTAATAGTAGCAGGCCGTAGAACAGGTGATGATGGTGGTGATGGAGGTGATTCTTTTATATCAAGTGTATTTGGTCGTATAATAGATGATGTTGTAATATCATCAAATGAACTTATATTTATTACAGGTTCTGTTGAATTTCTTAATTGTTGCTGTTGTTCATTGATAACGGATGAAAATGGTTCAATAACACGAAAAATAATTTGATCCATACTTGCTTCACGTATATCACGTACACGTGGCAATTTTGATGCTGTTTGATGATTATGATTTGAAATTCGTTGTTGTGATGATGACATAGGTACTTGAAGAAATTCTGATGAACGTGATGAATGTGTTGATGAGCATGGAAAATCTGAATTACGTCGATGATTATACCGACGAAGTATGGGTCCACCTCCTTGTTGTTGTTGTTGTTGTTGGTTGGATCGATTTGTTTGAGGAATGATTGATGAGAAAATACTAGTTGTTGCATTAGGTGTTTCACATAGAACTGGTGTTAAATCAAGTGACATCAATAAATGTTCATTAGTTTCATCTAATTGCATGGAATTTATTCTAAAATATATATTTATTAGTCAAATTATATAATTATTTATTATTGAGATATCCTTACCCACAACCATTTTGTACTTTAAATGCCAATGCTCTCATCAATTGAACATTATCTGAGTCATTTAATGCAAGATTTATTTGATTATGTAAATCTTTTGATATCTGTATAGAATTGTTTCTAAGTTATTTAATAAAAAAAACGATATTAATTTACCATGAAAAGTTCTTTATATTGTTCAATCATCATTTTTAAAACAGTTTTTCCTTGTTCCATTTGATCAGCACTTGTAGCTACACTCATATCTTTACTTGTCATCACCGGTGCTTTTCCATCCATAAGTATTGTTGGTGCAAATACAATTGCTAAATTTGCTGTATCCATTTTATTTCCAGCTAGAAGAGTTTTTCCATCAGTTGCATATCGATCTTGTGAATTCAATGAAACATGATGAAGAAATTTTAATAATGTATATAATGTATCTCGATTTGATGATGGTAATAAATCGATAAGATATGAAAGTGCACGTAATTGTTCTTTTGGATTTAATCCTTTAATGAAGAAAAAAAACATAACTTTATTTTAATATGAAATAAAACTACATACTTGATGGAATATTAAGAAATGGTACACATAAATCACGTGTTAATAATGGTTCAGGTAATTCACGTAAGAATTCTTTAATTAAACCAGCTATATCATGTGCATTTGTTGTTGAATCAAATGTAACACTACGATTTAAGTTAACTTGTTCCTTGAGCTATTAGTAAAACAGAAGAAAATATAATCATTAGATTTTTATTATATTACACTTACTTCTTTTAAACGTTTTTTCGATACACCAACTCGAAAAAGTCCAACAGTTTGTAATGCTAAAATTTAATTTTTTTTAATAAAAAAACCAAAATAAGAATGAATAGATTTTCTTTACCATTTTTCTCTAAATAATCACAGCAATTTGAAAGTAGTTCAGGTACTTTAGCTGGATAACATCTTAATGTATTAACTCTATTTACACCAGCACCTGATTCATTTCCAGCTAATGCTTCAAGTGACAATGATCGAATTTTTGTTTGTTCATAATCACAATCTGATATCTAAATTAAATACATATATATATATATATATGCATAATTTCTTATCAATCTTTTCTATTTACATGTAAACTACTTGGACTTGCAGGTGAAACTGAATATCCACTATCATTTGTTGATGACACACTTCCTGATGGACTTGTTCGTCTATCACTTGTTGTTATTACAACCATATCAGTACTATCTTTTCGATTATTTCCGCTTGCTGTCGGAATACTCGATGGTGATGTTGCATTTGTATCATCTTGAAAATGAAAATCATCATCAATTACACATTGAGATAGAGCAACACCAAAAACATTTCCATTTGACTTAGCTTCTATACAAAAAAGAAAATTTGATCATGAAAGAAAATATGCGAATAAGAAAAAATAAACCTCTTGCTTCTTTTGATTTATCACTTGATTTACTACGAAACATAAAATGATGTTTTCGTTTTCTAACAGGTTCTTCTAAATAAATAAATAAATTTTTTTAATAAATATTTATATGTAGAATATTTCATGTCATCATCATATATTTTCCAATTGAATAATTCCATCAAAATCTCAATGAATTATTCGTATATATTTCGAATTAAAACATGCATGACGAATCATAAGATAGAAAGAAAAAAGTTCTTTTGCAATATTAATTTTCGAAGAAAAATATATGACAATCATTATCATTTATCATATTTTTATTCCTTATGTTATTATGTTTTGTTAATCTATAGTTTTTTTCTTCTCTTTTTACACATTCTCAAGTTGACTGATTGCTGTCTGCAGAGATTAATATATCTAAGATGAATGATTCTGTAAATGTCATGGAGTTTTTTTTCTGTATTGAATCAATCTATTTTGTATTTCTTTCGTCTTCTTTCTTGCCTATTTTGATCAAGAGATCTATAGAGTAAGAAAAGAAGATGTTTGGGAATAAGACACTCTTTCTCACAGGGTAATATGTATATAAATCAAGGTCATGCACGTACAAAAGAATTTGATCAAGGAAAGCTTGATTTGATTAGATGCAGAAGCTTCTTCGTCTTTATATATAAACATATATGTCGTTAAAATCTTCAGAGAATATCTTATAGAGATACGTGAGAAAACTATCATTTGTATAAGATATTACCTTTTGGCACATGTATAGGAACACCAAGATCATATTGTGATGATTGTAAACGTTGTAAAATAAGACGTTTTAATTGTTTATGTTCAGCATATGTTAAATTATGCAATTCAATTGGACCAAGAGTAATTGTGCTTGTACCATCGGATGATGACCATTGTGATTTATCGGCCTATATGTATATATATATAACAAAACTTAATATCTTGTTAAAGAAAAGAACTTAATAAAAAAAAAGAATTGACGTAACAATCTTTTATGAATATATGTATATATCAATCAATAGCAGATGTTTGTTAATATATATATAGATATATTTGTGTGAGAAAAAAAAATAAAAATGATCAAATGAAAAGTGAACACATGTCGAATATAGTAATGTAAATAATCGAGCAATAGCTCTAAATAACTAATTCTCTCTTGTTTTTTTGTCCTTTAGATTTATCTTTTTAACACATATGTTTATTTTTGTTCTTCGGATAAATAAAGATCATATTTAGCTAAGACAAAATATAGAGATTTTTTCTTTATCTATTATTCTTTCTTTCCATAAGTAAATGTCCTACTTCTATTATTGTACTAATAAGTTTGACGTCTACTGAGATAAGATGTATAGACAAGTAACACTCATATGTCTATTGTTAGTATTATCATTGGAGACATTTTTTGTTTCTTTGTATATTTTCTTGTTACTCTTGCAACTATTCGACTACAATATCTACTAGTCTAGTGGTACTGCTGTGTTTTTGTGTGTCAATGTATGTCGTGTAGAAAAGAATGTACTTCTATCAACTAGTGTGCTGAATGATATAGTAGCAGTTGTCTCTGTAATTAGCAATTTAGGGTGTGTTGTATATATGAATATACTTACATCAAAATGCCATTGAAATTGAGCATCTATACTAGTTGTTGAACGTTTTTTCGATGTATTGGATGTTGATATTGTTTGATCAAGTGTAGTTGATGATCCACCAGTAGCACTCGTTAGCGTAGTTAAACTTGAATGATGTGGTGTTATTGATGTTGATGATGATGATGTTGTTGTTGAAATGATTGATTTTGTTGTTGTTCCTGATGCTGCTGTTGTTGTTGTTGTTGTTGAGGATGATGATGATGATGATGGTAGTTTAACTAGAGAAAGAAAATTACGGAATGTTGATAGTGGTGAAGGAGATGATGTCAAAAGAGATGAAGAAGATGATCTCGATGAACATAATGACTGAGAAGAATTTGATGGTAAACCGAGTCGACGATGATGACGGATATTGTTATTATTATTATTATTATTACTTGATGATTTATTACGTTTAAGAAAATTACGTATTGCTAAACCAGCTGGTGAAGTATCAGGTAATGAATGACGAAAATCATTCTTTCCTAAGGTTTCAAAACATCGTTCATCCTCATCTTCATCTTGTTCATCATCTTCATTATCATCATCATTATCACTTATTATACAAGTATGTTCGGTTAAAATTATTGAAGATATTGGTGCTGATACTGTCGTTGAATGTGGTAATGATCCATAAAGTGATTGACATCTTTGTCGACATAATCTAATATAGTCAGATTCATCTGGTTCTTCATCAAATGTCGTTAGTTTTTTAATATCAACTCTTTGTTGAGATGATTGATCGAAAAATAGACTTGCTCGACGATTATTTTCATTATAGATACGTCCCTCATGTATCGTTGTACTTTGTAAATTTGAACAAGCTGAACGACGAAAACGAACTTGAAATCTTTGCGATTGTAATGGTGATTGTTGTTGTTGTTGATAAAGTTGAGGTATATTTGGTGTTGTTGAAGCGGTCTGTAAATCTGTGATAGTATGTTCAGTAATACAATCAGTATCAAGAAGAAAACTAGGTAAAGGTGTATGACGCGCCATTGACAAGATAGTTGTACGTTTGTCGTCGGTCACGTTTATTAAGTCAGTTTGAGCCAATCAAGGTTATTGTCAATGTGGACAACAATTCATCAACATTCTTCTTAATCAACTTGTGTTTATACATAAACTAGATTTTTTTTCTCTCTTCTTCTTCTTCTTCTTTTTCTTTCACTAGTAGGCATACATGCGCATGTGTGCACATAACTCTCTAATTACCGACGACCATGATGGTAGTGTTGTTGTTAGTGGTGGTGATGATACTTTCTTTCTTCTGTATTCGTTCTCTTCTTGTTTCTTTCTTTGCCTTTTTTTTTCTAATGATGGCCCAGTCGATCATCCGTCATTAAACGGACCCTAAGCAGACAAGAGCGGAAGTGGATAAAGGATGTATTCGCGTTTAAGATACAACGACGGCAACGATTATGATGTTCGTGTTAAAAGGAATTTTGTGTGTTTGTGCGTAGATGGATATATATATATATGTATATATGTATGTATGTGTGTGTCGGTTTTCATGAGTCGTCGCTTCTAATTATATGCGCAGGAACAGTCTAAGACTATGAGGCAAGAAGAGAATGACAACAGCCATAGTAGCATCTTTTTCCTTCTGTTTATGTCGCATGTCTCTTTTTCTTTTTGCTGCTGATATTCTGCCGTTCGTGATTGGATCAACGAACTGATAGGCGGAAAAAAAGAAAAGAAAAAAATATGAAAAGCAGAATCTTGTTATCTATTCTCCTAAAACATACACCATACACACAATCTTATGTATGTACAAATGACGCTCTTCCATCCCATATTGCTTCATTTTTATGTATGTTCCACTGCTATTATCATTTGGCTAGATTTGTATAAACATGACGAAAGGGAAAGCATATATCACCTAGTGGGTGGATATACTAGATTAGACAATCATTAAGTGTTCCAAATAATACTATTTACTTCTTCATTTTTAAATTGATCATTGAATAAATGTTGTTTTTCTTTACATTTTGTTGTATTTTGTTTTTAATGACAGGAAAAATTATTGTTGCTCGATATGTTCAATTAAAAAGCGATTTTCCTTTGCTCCTTTTTTTCCATCAAAAAGTTATCGTGTATAATAATAAAATTGAAGACGGAACATGCAATTCGGAGACGAATACAACGGAAGATTGTTTCTATTCAGAATGCTGATAATAATAATAATAACAACTATCGTTGGGTGTAAATAGGAACTACGCCAACTAGTATTAAATTCGAGAAAACAAACTAAATATGACTCGATGCACGTTTTCCGGCTTTTCAAATGCACATATAACCAAAAATGGCATAAAACAATTTATTTATATTACGATAAGAACAAATATTTAATAACTATATAAAATATTAAAATATAAACAACATCTACTAAGAGAATCTATTTTGCTTCTTCATATCGGATAATATAAATAAACATTATTGTTTACTTGTAAATTTACATCCATTTAGAAACTAAAATTGTACTCTAAATATTAAGAGTTGATTACTTCATGCATATAGCAATCATAAAAAAAAGCCCAAATCCAAATTCATAGAAAATAGAACAAATTAATTTATTTTACCAACATCTTCTTTTTTTACACATTCAATGTGAATTAAGATGATCCAATGGATAAAATAGTAATACGGATGCAACAAGGAAATCAATGTATGTCATATCATCAAAAACTATATACAGTAAAGTCAAGTAAGTTGCGACATCTTACTATTACTTTTGACAGATGGCTACAATGACTGTCAAATTCTTATATATACGAGCAATTATCGATATGTTCATTTATTTCAAATAAATAAAAGAATCTATGTAAGATATTTAAAACAATTTCATCAATGCTTACTTGTAAAGGTGAATGTATTTGTTGTTGGATCAGGCGAAGTCATTGAATGTCAATAATCGTAACTGAATATAGTATGCTAAAACAGAACATCAATAGTACTAATACATTATTATATATACATATATTACAAGTTTTAATTACTAAATATTTTATATAATAACATCATACGATACTATTATTTTATAAAATGTTCATTTAGAGAAAACAGATTTTCTCTTTATATGTACATTCATATGTATTTTATATATGCAGAGTGAGCTATTTTAACATAGATACTTACTAGAAGTTTTTGTAGTTGATTTGTGTGAATAGATATATGTATGTCTAGGCGCACGCGTTATTACTAAGATAAAATGAAGAGTTTAGCTTTCTATATTGTTGATTTCTCGCTCTTTTTTGTCGAATGAACAATTAACAACTCTATATGATGTATTCGGCTCGATAAGCAGAGAGCATATATATATATATATATATATAATACAATAGGAAAAGCCACAAATGATAAAGATGGAAGAGAAGGAAAATGTTGTATGTGAGTATATGTGTCTCTGAACGCGTACGGGCCAGCTGGAACAACTCGTTGTGCGCAATGTTGAATTCTCTCTTTCTCTTCTCATACCATCTAGATTCAACATCTCCCTTTCCATCCCTCTCTCTCTCCCTCTCCCTCTCCCTCTCTGCCTCGCGTGCAAATCTCTGCTATGCTCTTATGGCGTGTCAATCTTGTTTCTTTCATCAGCATTGGCATCCGTGAAGGAGAAGTGAGAAAGAAAAAGATGCGCCCTCGCATGCGCGGGAGGCAAGAAGCGTAAGTAGAGACGAGACAATCGCCGTGCTGCACACTAAATTTGCTTGTTGCCTTTATTGATGTTATTCTTTAGTCTCGATGCAAGATGTAACACCCAGACAATTATGCGTATGTGGACACACATACATACACATATAGATAGATGTATGTATATGTATGTATACGGTTCGATTGTTGGTACTACCCAGGGATCTGCGACATATTAGACCCAATAACTATTATTATTTTGACGTCTTTGTTTTTCTTTTTCTTGTTGATGATTATTTAAAAGGTTGATTCATTTGTCAATCTGAACAAATTGCAACATCTCATAAAATACATACATATATTTAAAAACAAAAAAAGCAAAATTTTTGCTAATCTATTATCTAGTCTAGTTATCATTGTTTCTAGACGAAAGAAATAAAGAGAAGAACAAGTGTCAATAACTATCGGTTAGTATTGATGATCGAATACTTCTACTTCATCTAGTGGGAGAATATTTGATCTGTCTTCTTATCAATGTTAAGAATGAGATTCATAAAATGACATCATGATCTTTCATCTATCGATATTGACAATGAATAATTGACTAGAAAGAAAATTTTTCCTAGACATCAAATATGTAGTCCTAAGAGAGTGGAAATAATTAGTGATAAGTATTCATACCATTTTTATTTGTTTGTTCTAAAACAACCTTGAATAAATGAAAGGAAATATATACTTGTTATTTTATTTCGATGTACAATCTACTTGAATCAACTCTCTAATGATAAAAATAACTTATTGCGCATGACAACATCTAAAAAAAGTCATCTGACAAACGTATAAGTTAAAGTTTTTTTTTTGAATAAATTAATATCTAATAATATAACAATTATGAAAGTATTCAAGCAAACTTTAATATGCCTATTTTTCAAAAAGATTATAAAAAATAATGATTATTGAATTGTTTTCTTCTTCTTTCAATATTATATACACTTAACGCTATAAAACCAATGGTGAATGTTTACCATAGCATTCTTCTCTCTTTTTCATGTTTTCTATAGAAAGCCCAGAATAATATGGCTGACTTAGCATCTCAAATAAACTATGTTTTTCTTCTTGTTTAGTTTATTTAACAAATGAACCTTGCGATAAAAAAAACGTTTCGACAATTAGCGAAAAGATATAGCGTCTTTATTCATCCTTATGTCTTAAAACAAACACAGATACAAATGATGTATACAACAATCTCATACATGTCGTACATATTACATTTTTGCATAATAACATTCACCAAACAATTTGGTATAAATAATATTCTTTCTTTTTTCTCTCTGTCTCTCCGCTTTTCAACACTGACGTGCTTTATATTATGAATGACACTCCTTGACACGCAAAATATTCATTATAAATATACTTTCCTTTTGTAATATTATTTAAAGGTGCTTTTTTTTGTTCTATCTTGCAATTAAAAAAACTTCAATAAAAATATATATATTCTGCCAAATTTAAAATAGATTATAACGATATTTCTTTGATGGTTGATCATCTATTTAGATAAGCTTTTGACAGACATAACAAACGATGATTTTTATCGAGCATTCTATCAAATTTACCGAATAGACATAAGTAATATATCTTGGGAACAAACTAAGATGATACTGCATGAGATCTTTTTACAGATGGTCTGACAAATAATTCTGTATTGTTACAGATAGATCTATATATTTATATGTATCTGTAACAACTGATTAGAAATTTTGTAATTATCTGTATGATTTGAGACTAATAAATGATTATAGCTACTAGTTATTGTTTATTTATTTGATAGAAGAAGAAGAAGAAAAAATGAGTTTTGTTGATTAGTAATTTGATTCCTTAATCAGATATGTAAATTTAAATAACATTTCTTACATCGTAACATATTTATATACATGTTAATATTACGAAAGAAATATGAAACTAAATCTTATATAAGATAAATCAAGTGTAGAGAATGAAATGACAGAAGATTATGATGATCTTTACAGATGGTATTCTTCATGTCAACGATCAGTACATATCGATCGTATCTATATTAGTATGAATTAATCATAATATAAATGATGGTTGTATTTATTTAAATTAGTTTTCTCTATGTAAGATTCATAAATTTATTATTTAAGAATAGAGTGAAGTGGATAAATGATCAATTTGGTATGCTCGATATAGTTAGATAGGATTTTATTGTGATAATAATAGGGCAATTTTTTCTATAAGATTTATTGTTCTCACTCTGACAATATAAAACCAAATGGAAAGCTTAATGTACTATTATCAGTGATAAAACGGTCAAAACTTGATTATTTACGCGTCAACGTTATAAGAATGATCTACAATGACTATAATTGAATAATTTTGATCGAATAATAATTTCCTATAATCAAATATGTGTTTATGAAGAAAAAGTTGTTTACGAGTATAATCATAATCATAAATTGATTATTCGACTGAATAAAATATTTATTTCTGTCTCAATAACTATCTACTTCATAGACATGTGTTTTGTTTCAGAAATATTACATACACATCAACACATATGTTTGCACAATCCTATGGTAATAAAACCTAACAAAATTCTTTCGAAAATAACAACAACAAAAAGAAATAACATCATTATCAAATAACTCTATGTGTATGTGTGTAACTATCTCTCAACAATTATATGACAATGTGACTTATTTCAGTTATCGCTATGTAATCATCGATATTCTCTTTGCACATGCAAATGTAACATGAAGTGTATTATTTAATAACTATCATATGTAACAAATATAGAGTTACAAAAAATGTACTATCAATATTTTTCATTTCATTTTTTCCTCGAGAATTGATATGTGCGTTCCTTTTATATGACTTTCGTAGAAATATCAAAGGTTTATCTATTCTTTCATAATTTGGATTATACGATGAAATTTATTCGATAGTTATGTAGTAGCAATTCAAATAATAATAGTTGTCAATGAGCAAACATACGCTAATACGATCAGTGATCTCAAAGACATTCAATAACATTACAAGTAATTGTCTATCATAAATTCATGTTGTTTACTCCAAGCAGTTATCTAAAATTGGAGCAAATTATTCAATAATAATTCAACATGTATTGAAACTTCAGTTTTTTTAATGAAGTGAAGTTCTGCTTATATGTTTTTAAGTTTAAACTATTAGATATTCAGTTATACTCAATATCTGAAGATGATTTCGATAAACCTTTCATGAACTGAGAGTATACAGTAGACAACCAGTGTATGGCAGTAAAAACTGATGATAAATCTTTAAAAATAGTTCTCACATTTTTCATTTATCCAAACGAATATTATTGCTACTCAATATGCTGAGAAAACTAAATTTTTTCAAATTAAAATCAGAAGTCAATTATCTTCCCATTGTCATTTTATTCAAACAAAAATATAGATTATTATGGATATACATATACAGTTTCGAAGATCTTTCGTTATAATACAATGACATTGCAGTTAAAACACCGTTTTTAATGTAAGAAAATAATATTCTAACAAATGTCTTATGATCATCTTAGTACTCTATAATTGCTTTGATGATCCATTCAAACTTTTTACATAAACAAGTTCTGAATATTACATTGATTCTAAACCATGAAACAAAAAAAATGATTTGTCAACAAAGCAATATTTAGTTAGAGCTTAAGATAATTTATTATAACTAAGATATATTACGATTATATATATCAATATGTGAAGCAGTAGATGTTGTTGAAGAAGGTCGATCAATAGCAGGTGCAAATGATAATGATGCAGTATGTTGTTGTTGTTGAGAAGAATGCATATTTTCTTCTCCTCCTCCTCCGTCTTCTACGTCATCATCATGAAATTGTCTCATTGTTATCCCTTCTTGTTGTGCTTCATTAATTAATAATTGAATAATTTCATCTGTAATTAATGGTCCTTGAGTATTTCCTACATAATGTGTTAATGCATAATTTGATAATTCATTAAAATCAATTCCTTGATAATCTTCTTTATCACGATTAAGAAGTGAATAATGTGATTTCATATCATCAACAGCACATTGACCTATATATTCAAAGAAATATAATGCAAATATATTTTTTATAGAAAAAAATTGATTTTATTTTACCTAGTAATTCATTTAATTGTTCTTCAGATAGAATAGCTTCGATTTTTTCTTCTGTCATTGGCTGATGTAAAATTTCAAGTTTTTCATCAATTTTCTTTAATCTCTGCATATGTTCACGTTGTAAACGTGTTTCTTTCAATACACGTTCACCAAAATGATTATCTATTTGTTCATTTTCTTCATTAGTAATTTGTTGCATAGTTGTATAATCAACATCATTATGATTATTTCGTCGTAATTGATGATTAAGTAATGGATTATAATATTCTTTTTCAAGTAAATCATCAATTTCTTTTAAACGTTGAGATTCATTTATTGATGGTATATAACCATTTATATGTGAACCTGGTAAAGCAACAACATTAACTTGTTCATCTTCTTCTAATAATTGTTTTAAACGTTGTTTTTCATCATCTGTTAATGCCCATGCACCACCAGCTTCCTTTGCTAATTGTATATTACGTTTAATAAAATCTTTTTCAGGTGGTTTAGTTTGTTTAGATTTATCTTTACTATTCATTGTTGAATTTGATGATATACTAGATTTTTTTTTATTTTTATTTAATGAAGAAGTTTTTGTATTACTATTTGAAGAAACTTTATCACTTCTATGTACACTATTAGAATCATCAAGTGGATCATTTATTTGTGTTTTAAATATTGATTCAGGTGTATTGGAATTATCATATTCAAGATAACCACCATCTAATTTTAAAATTTCATCATCAAGAGCTAAAAATCGTTTTAAATTTGATTGAGTATGTGATAATTCATTCGTATCATCAGGAAGAATTGAAGTCATCGATTGCATTTCACTTCTTAATCTAAGAAGAGAAACTTAATTAATTTTTTATCGACAAACAGAAGTAAATTAGGTATATTTTACTGTACGAAAACGTATTCTACACTCATACCCATCCCACTAACCTTTGGATGCTTAAGTACTTTCATACAATTAAGTGTTACATGTTTCAATTACTACTGAAGATCTAATTGATCAAACTATGTTGAAATGATGTTCATATCAACATTGATGATTATAAAATTCTCGACCTAAAACTTAAGATCTACGGATAGTTGAGTACTCGTATCAGACCTCAACTTAATACTAATTATTTGTTGAAAGTAATAAAAATCAATTTAGTATCTAATCGTTTTCTATCCTGAAAAGGATAGTAGTAATAATTAATATCTATATCTGTTTGAATATATAATGATTTTAATATTCTGTCCTGTTTTATTATTATTCAATAAAACGAAATAAATCGTGTTATACATTTAGTTAATTTTTCTAGATACACTTCTGGAAATAGTCTCAGAATATAAGATTGTACAAGAATAACTTAACTCTTTTGATAGATATCTTATGAAACTCATCGTTCGTTACGATACTAAATAAATGTTAAACCGAAATCTAGTCAGAACTATATATTACATAATATTTTTCTCACACCCAATGCTTAACATGATTTATGATAACATACTTCTTCATCAAAGACATTGTTTCAACTTTGACTTGTTTCTCTTTTTCAAATGCTTCTTCAAGTGCTTTATCAAGTCGTTTCATTTTTAAATAAGCATCATCTAATTTAGCTTCATTTCCAATTTCCAATGTATCTAAAATTACTCAACAGTAAATTAGATATAAATTTAAACTATTTTATACAAACCTTGTTTATCTACTTGATATTTTTCTTGTAAATGTTTAATAAAATATTGTTGTTGAGAATTATTTTCTTTCGTTGATGGTTTAATTGGTGGTAAAATAGGATAATTATTAAGATTGCTCGAAGGTCGAGAAAGATTTTCTTCATCTTCTTCAACATTTGCTACAAAAGAATTTGCAGATTTTACACTATTATCATCCGAATATTCATCACTTTGAGCTATAGAGAGAAGGAATTCGAAATTTCTATATAAACAATATGAATTACTTACAATTATTATCAGTCATTTTTTTCTTGTTAATATGAATCTCAAAATAATTCGATTTATATTTGTTGACAAGGCAACAGTCGTAGAGGATCTAGATGTCGCTAGTGTTTTTAATCTTATTTTTTTCTTTTAAGAAAAATTTCTTTTATTTTTCATTTCATAATTTTTTTTATTTCGATTATTTTGTTTTTTCATGAATAGAAATTGTTGAGAATGATATTTTCCGATAATTAAAATGCATATTGTTTATTTATTTATTTATTTCCGTGATTCTCTTCTGAGTCATAAGGTTTAACATCTTTTTTTTTGTTTACATTCAGATTATATTATTCATTGATCGATTTCTTTTCCTGTATCTCAAAACTAGTCAATATTATTAATGGCTTCGTCAGATGACGATCTCAATAAATTGGATACGTTATCTGATGATGACTATTTGAAATTAATTGAACAATTCTATGAAAAAGTAAAATGTTCTGTTTTTTTTGTTTCCTTCTATAATTGATATTATTTAGAATGTAAATAATTTTGCATTTCCACAACTTGATCTGGATAAAAAACAACGACTTGTTACCGAACTATTTACGCGTTTACGTTCATTTGATTCAAATTCAATTTTTCTATGTTTAAAAACATTACGTTTATTAACACGAGATCGAGAAGGACTTGATGTAAGAAATAATTTAGAATTTTTTTAATTTTAATTAATTTTTTTTGGTAATTTTAGGCACTTACAGGTTCATCAGTACTCGAACCACTTCAAAAATTAGCGGGTCTCGAATGTAGCAAAGTTGATGCTAACCCAACAGATATTCAAAGTAACAAACTAAATTTTGAATTTTTGTTCCTATTTAAATTTTTGTTTTTAGATGTGATTGAAGCAGAAAAATGCATGTCGAATTTAATATATATGAGTCCAGCCGTACAAAAATTTTATAGTGTTAGTGGTGTTGCTGATGCTATAACACAACGTATTAAAGAAACAACAACAACGAAATTAGATAATGGAATAAGATTTTTTGATATGAGAATGCTTTTTCTTTTAACTGCTTTAAATGCTGATATAAGGTATGTATTATATTATTTTAATAATGAAAAAAAATTTGTTTTTTTTGTAGACAACGTGTTCGAGAAAAATTTCATGGTCTTTCTTATCTATTTGAAATTATTAATCAAATTATGTCAACAAGAAGTGAACCAGTTGCTGCTGCAGATTCAGGTTTGTTTAAAAATAATTCAAAAAGAGTTATATATAACATTTAAGCTCGATAGATATTAATTAAATCTACTTCATATGATCATCATTCGAAAGAAATAGAGTTAAATTAGTAAGGGAAATAATGGTTCGTTAGATTATAGGTGAAACTCAATGAAGTAATACACTATTTCACAGTGTTTAAAAAGCCATTACCGGAGTTTGAAATGATTGTCCTTGATATTCATTGAATCGTATGCATAAAGACAATATCAAGTGGATGATGGAAAAAATTAAAAGCACATCCGATTTTTTCTAGCACGAGGTTCAGAAAGTTTACTAGATTTATTTCTAACATATTACTTTCAATAAATTTCACCGATTTAATTAAAGATAAACATATGAAAGATTTTTCTAATCACATCATATTCTAAATTTGAATGTAAGATAGTTATATTAACAGATTCAGTAATCTATAACATAGTACCTAATGTCCCCAACATATAAAAACTCTCCTTTTACACATATATCAGTTGAAGCCTAGACAAGATTATGCAAATAGCTTTTCGGGTTAGATTTCACTTGAACTTCAGGCATTTCTAATTAAGATACATTTCTCTTACAATATCAGTTACCGAGTTAATATCAAGTAAATCATATTCTCTATAAAATATGTTATTTCTCCAGTTTAATTCTATTGAATACTGACTTATTTAGGTATAACTTTATCAAATGAAGATATTGATTATTTAATTGAAATTTTGAAAACACTTTATAATTTAACTGTTGATTTACCAAATTTAACGCATTCATATGCTATACAAGAAGAAGAAGAAGAAGCTCATTTGATGAGATTAGTAAGTATTCTTCGTGAATTACTTTTATGTTATGGACCAAATAATGAAAAACAAATGGAATTACAAAAGTAAATTTTTTTAAATATTTGTATTTGAATTAAATACTAAATTCAATTATATTTAGTCATATTATTAATCTTTTAACAAATATGCCAAAAACATGTTTTGAAGAATTACTTTCACCAGCTGTCCTAGACGATGATAATGATAATGATGAGCATAATGGTAAAAATATGGAAGCTATTAATACAATTCTTCGTTTTCTTGATCATCGTATTGCAAAAGCCGAAGTAGGAAAAATAAACAAACATTTTTTGTTTTTATTTAAATAAAACTATTTTAGGGAACAAAAAATGCTAAAGAAGTTTTATTACCCGTCCTTCAACTTCTTATACTCATGTGTCAATCGAATCGTACAATAAGAAAATTTTGTCGACAATTTATTTTACCAGCTCTTGGTGATGAAGTTTTAAATTTACCAACTGAAGGACAAAAATTACGAAATAAGTAAAAAATAAATTGATATTCTTTTCCTTTAGACAATACGTGGTTTTTTTATTTAGATTAACACGAATGATGACAAATCCAAATTCAGAATTGAAAACTCTTTCAGCAAAATTACTCTTTGTACTTTGTAAAGAAAGTGGTATGAATATTATAATCTGAAAATTTTTGTATATTAATTTTCTTTTCTATTTAGTCGATCGTTTAATTAAATATACAGGTTATGGAAATGCCGCTGGTTTGTTATATGATTTCGGTTTACTCGGTCCACAGCATAATATAAATAAAGAACAATATTCAAGTGATTCCGATGAATCCGATACTGAAAGTTATAAAAAAATTCGTGATCAATATGGGTAAATAGATAAGAAAACAAGACTTTTTTTGTTACCGACATATTTTTGTTTTTAGTATTGATGGCGTTACAGGTCGTGCAAATATAAAACGAAATGATGATTCCATGAAAGATTGGACAGAAGAACGAAAAATGGTTGAAGTCGATAAACTTCTTAATACATTAGATCGTGCTATGACGTGAGAATTTGTTCTAGATTTTATTTTATCTTTTGATTTTTTGAATTTTATAGTCATGGTTTAATTAAACCCATGGTTATGGATGCAAATGGAAATCCTGTTCCAGCTGAAAGTGTTCTACAACTTCGAGAAGCAAATTTACTTACACATCATCCAAATGATCTTCGTGCTTCAGAATCAAGCGATGATGAAGGTGATGGTGGACAAATTAATACAAATAAATCAAAATAAAACTTTATTAAAAAAAAAACGCTCATTTTATTTAAACACAATGCTTTTTATTCCTTTTCTTTTCTTTTCTTCTTTTGATCTGAGTGTTGTCTTGTAAAGCATGAGAGAGAGAGAAAATAAACCAATTTAAACAGTGTCTGTAGTCAGTTTTCAATAAGAAATGTAAATATTTTACATGTTCTGATTGTGTACTAGTCATTTTAATCTCGTTGTTGTGTGTTGCCTTCTTTTATTTTGACATATTTCATTTACATCAGCGCGGCTTTTCTTTTTGTCTTTGGATAAAAATATACCAAAAGAAACCTAAAATGAAAAACAAAATATTTAATTGCAGATGAAAAGCCATTTATGTCTTTTTCTATTGATTATTCGAATCGATTCAATAGTCGCTTGGGAAACTTATGAACTTGATTTATTTGATTTAGTTGAAGAACTTGGCTTGAATACAAATTTTTATGATTTTATTGGTGTTGAAAAAACAGCGGAAACAAGTGAAATTAAACGGGCATATAGGTAGAACGATTTATTTTATATCTATATATATAAAATTTTTATTTTAAAAGAAAACTTTCATTAACTTGGCATCCAGATAAATCGGATGATCCAAATGCTGGTGAAAAATTTCGACAACTTGTTGCTGTTTATGAAATACTTAAAGATGAACAACGTCGTACTCGATATGATCGTATACTTGTAGAAGGTTTACCAAGATGGAATCAACCAATATTTTATTATAGACGTGCGAAAAAATTACGTTTTTGGGAAATTTTTACAATTTTAACATTTATTATGACTATTGGCCATTATTTAGTCCTTTGGGCTATGTATTTTGAATCCACTTTAACTATGGTGAAGTAAGATCAATTTATTTATGCACAATATTTCTTATGATGTTTTTTTTCTTTGTTTTAGAATGAACGATCTACGGATGTACGTAAACGATTGGAAAAGAAAATGAAAAAATCTAGTAAAATTAAAGATATTGATCAAAATATGATTGATGAAGAAATGGCTCGAATTATACCAGGTAAATTCAAATTATTTCTAAGATGTAGTCTTTCATTGAAAAACTAATTCTTTTGATACCTAGAGAAAAATAATCTTCTCGAAAGTTATTTCATCATGTTAAAATATTTTTCTAAGATGATTACATGTGTCAAAAGAATAATTGCTTAGCTTAAAATCTTTTTTCCTTTCAAAAGATTTATATTTATCAAATATATCGAAATTCTTATTCTTTCATTATAGTTCTAAAATCACCACAATTGACTGATATATTACCAATTAAATTCGCTTTTTCTCTAATAAATCATCAATTTTTTGTTCCACATATTAAACATCTACTAAGTGCAATCATACATAATCGTCGTCAATGTTCATCAACTGAATCTATTTCAGCAAGCAATGACGATGAAGATAATGATAGTAATTCAACTACAAAAAAATCTCCGGTTATTCGTATCAATGATATAGTACCAGAAATGGCTACTAATATAAATGCACCTATTGTTTCTTATTTAACACCAACTTCATCATCTTTTGAAGATAATCAATCATCCGAGTCTCGCAATTCAACTCGTTCATGGTCGGATGAAGAAAAACAATTGTTATGTAAAACTATTGTTCGATTTCCACCAGGAACACCTCGAAGATGGGAAAAAATTGCCGAAGTTATAGGTCGTCATGTTTCACAAGTTACTGACATGGCTAAACAAATACAAAATACAGTCGGTTCGAGTAATAATATTTTTCAAGAAAATCATCTATCATCAACATCATCGTCAACAACAACCATTGATCAAAATATAATTACTGAACGACAACAATCAGAAACGATGCCTGATTGGTCACAAACTGATCAACATTTACTTGAATGTGCATTAAAAAATATACCAAAAGATAAACCTGGTGCTGATCGTTGGGAACAAATAGCTCTTTGTATACCTGGAAAAACACGTGACGATTGTTTAGCACGTTATCGTTATATTGTACAACTTGTTAAAGCCAAAAAAATGGCTTAAATTTTTTACAGTAAAAAACAAAAAGAAAAAAAAGAAGGAAATACATTATTATTTTTTGTTTTCCGTTGCCATTAATCGGTGCGTGTCTCCTTTTTTTGAATAAAAAGAAAACGTTAATAATAAATATATATCATCATCATATATCTATTCAATAAATAGTTGCTATTAACATTAAAAGCATTTTATTTTCTTTTGCTATTAATTTTCTTTTTGTTACCCTATTATATTTTGTGTATTTTAAACAAAATGACGGCAGATAAATCGATGAATTCAATTAACCATTGGAATGAAGTTCTTTCTTTTTCTTCTTCTTCATTCTCTATTCTAGTTATATGTTGATGCATGCAGTAGTCATGTTGTCGGAATTCGATTAGATAACGACGGAGTTGACAATGTGGTCTGTTGTTGTTGTTGTTGCTGTTGAGTACGAGAAAATGAAGATGAGAATGGAGATGTTCGGAAAAAAAATGATCGTAAACGTGTCAATTTATTTGTGTGTGAAGTAGAATGTTTTATCGATGTCTTAGTATTTGATGACTTTGAAGTAGAAAATGTCGTTTCATTAGTATCTGTCGAATTAACGATAGTATTGTTGTCAGTCAATGGCACGCCCATTGAACGTGATGTTGATAATGATGATGGAATCGTAGAACTATATTAAATAGTAGAAGAAAAAAAAAATATATAGATCTATTCTCTTATTAATTAGCTATATTAGGTTTTTTTTATTCGAAGGAGAAAAACAAAATGATGTAATTCTTGTTCAAAGGTTCAAAAATACATTAATTTGTTCTATTTTTATAAATTACTAAAGGGTATTATTTTAAATGAAAGCCTATAATCCTGTAAATTTAATTATACGAAAAGAGTTAAGGAAGTAAATGTGGCTTTAATTATCAAAATAGGAGCTCATTATTTTCTATTATTATCTTTTTTTCCTCGAAAAAGAAAAATCTTTATCGTATAATGTGTACTGAGAAAATATTGATTTTTCCTTATGTATATATATATCATCTATTCCAATGATAATAGTCAATTATTTATCAATTTTACCGGAAAAAAATATTTTTCTTCTTTTCAATATTTGCATACTCACTCGTGTTTAATAAGTGGAGCAAAATGATTTTCATCATCACCACCTTCATCATCTTCTTCAACGACCATATTTGTTTGATATTTTCCTAAATTATTTGTTATGGCAGAAAATGATGATGATGTTGATGACATAAATGGATGAAATGGTAATGATGATAATGATATATTCGTCGTAGATTTTTCTTTTACTGATGATGAACGTTTAAATAATCTTGTTTTTAAATCTTTTTTTATCGGTAATTCATCACGCATAAAACCATGATTTGTTACACAACATGCAGATGATGATATATTTGTTGTTAAGGGTAAAGATATTTTTGATGTTGAATGAAATAAATGATCACGAAGTGATCTTGAATATATCCAAGAATTTTCACGATCAATTCTATGTGAAGCAATTGCTATTGTACTATGATTACGACGAGTCGATTTTGGATCAATATAAACAGGCACAAATACATAACGATAATCAATATAACGTTCTTCAAAACGTTTTTTTAAATCTTCTGTATAAATCCATGAGTTTGATGATGATGATGATGTTGTTGATGAAGACGGCATTTTTCCGATTGAATTTGATAAATATTTCTGTTTCCGTGATAGACTCGTTCGATCAGATGTAATTCTTGGTATGCTTGCTGTTGATGTTGCAGCAGCAGCGGTTGCAGCAATCGTATTGTTAGCCGTCTCAAGAGCCAACAGACCATAATAAAGAACCATCAAGGGAACTGAATACTGAATAAATTTGATGCGTCTATCACCGACTTACGAATTTGACTTCTTATTGACGAGAAGAAATGGAAAAATGATGTTGGCAAATATTTTGTGATCGAAACTATTTTAAATACGCTAATGAATTGAATATCTAGTATAGAAAAGCAAAAATGTAATAGAGTGATCTTCTTTCATCAATGTCATCTCGCATCTCATCATTTCAGTAAAGAGATCGTCTATTTTGTTCGTTATTATTCTCTCGGTTTTTCTTTTCTATACTGCTGTTTGAATATATATATATAGGATGCTATCAATGATGGTGATTATGATGAGAAAGAGCAACTCATAGTCACAATAGTAGACCACAATGAAGTATTAATGTTGAGCTGTTTGTAAAAAAAAAAGAAAAGTATGAAGAGAAAAAATAAGAACGAATGAGTTCAGTAGTTTCTTGCTCACTCACTTAATGTCTCGGAAAAAATACTGAGTAAATGATGGAAAGTAAGAGAAAAGGACACACTCGGGAAAAAAAGGAAGTGCTTTCCGATCCGAAAAAGAGTGCTAGAAAAAATGGAAAAAAAAAGGTAAAATGAAAATAATATATGTAAATATTAAAATGATCGAACATAGTTAACTAGTTAATTATATCAGGCAAATTTATATATATTTTTAGAAATCTTTTTATATTCGTCAATATTTTTTATATGTCTGGAAACAATCAGGAAATACTAATAGGGTTACTGACACATAGTTACATTCCGTTTTCTTAGTTTTTAATCTCTATTCGAAAAAAACACGATTGTCAATTGTCTAGACTTACGGAAAAATGTATAGACATATATATATATATATAAATATAGAGATGAATGGACAATGATATATAAAAGTTTGTTATTTTGACCTAGGTTGAGCGTCTAAATGTCATAAACAATAGTTTATATTTAAGAATGTAAAAGAATACATTAATAGTTTATCATTTTTGCTATTGTCATCATGCATCAAGCTAATATTGTATGAAAATAATGTGACTGTCTCGACTGCTCATCATCAATATGAATAATAGTAATAATACTAGTAACAACAACAATAATAGCGTATAGACACAGAAGAGAGAGAGAGGGAGGAAAAAAAGGTCTCAAATCGCGCTCCGACAAGCTATGCAGAATGAATAAAAATCGTTTATTGATGGGAAATAGGATAAGTCTGAGTGTACATCATTATAGGACGACGATGGAATTTGGCTGATTTCTGATAAAAAATAAGATAGATATTTCCAAGCTAAAATATACAGAAAACTGTCGTTATTTGACTGTTGTTGATGTGTTTTTCTTGTGGCTGTTGTTGTTGTTGTTATTATGATTACGATTATGATTATTATTATTACTATTATTATTATTATTATTATTATAACAACAGAGCTTTAGGGTGAAACATTAGAAATAGAAGCAACAAGAGACGATCACAGAAAGGGAAAAAATAACTATTGACAAACTTTTGTTACAATTAAAAAAACAGTCTTACACTAAAACTTACTATAAATATGTAAAAATAATATTATAATTATAAAAAAATCTAATAAGAAAGAAAATTCATTAAATTATTTTTCTACATCAGTAGTCAAAGATTTCTATATAAGTTTAAAATAGAACCTTATATAAATAATAATTCTTACAAAAGAAATAATATACTACTCACTATTTGTTTATTAATCAAGATATAGTAGTAATATACATATTGTAATGCTATAGTAAATTCATTTATGAAGATAGATTATTATTATGATAATATCAGAAACATTTGTTGTTTTTATTTATTATATTGCTATATTTATCGTTACTGTGCAATATTTTTTCAGATCATTTCTTATTTATCTTCTGGTGAAAATTTTTTATTATAAATATAATAATTATTTCACTTCACTTTTGTCATTAAAAAAACATTTCTCATAATGGAATATTAGTCTTTAATTGTAGAGTCGAGGAATAGGTAAAATTCTTCATTCAAAATTAATAATTGATAAAAGCATAACTATATCTAATTTCTTTATTGAAAATATCCGTAAACCTTAGGTCACTTGCTCAAAACAATTAAACAAAAAAAATATGTATGACAACTTACAGAGTCTTGTTAATTTTGAATAGAATTATAATTATAATTTAAGTATACTTGTTTATAAAGACGTCTTTGTGTGGGATGCTTAATACAAATTAAATGTATGAAATTCTATACTTCATTGAACTAAATATTTTTAATTCCTACTTATATTATGAGATTATCAAAACACAGAATTTGTCTTCTTTTTTCTTCCTAAGCTGAAATCTTACTGGAAACGAATGCCATCTGTCGAATTTGTTCTGTTGGCTGCATGCAAAAAACATGATGATTATTTATTAACATTCGATTTGTTATCTTTTACTTTAGTTAGCAGCGAATTACGTATAAATCATTGAATATACATATCAGCTGACACGTTTTATTTTGTTTTTTTATTTTTAATTATATTATTACGATTAATTATATAATAATACGAAGAAGAAAAAAACGAGAAGAGCTATAGTGTTTGTTTATTGATCCAGTGGTATTGTATTTGTTTTTCTTATCTCTATTTTTAACACTCTAATATTAATCAAAAGAAAATGGATGCTATGATTCCCGTTGATACACTTGAAGTGACTGATACTGGTTTTAATGAACAATTTCGATTACGTACTGATAGTATAACAAAAAGTTCATCAACTGATGAAAATGAAATTCGATCATCTGATGTTATTGAACCTATTGTCAAGACAGCTCATTCAACATCAAGTGGTTTCGATGTTCACAATGTTTATGAAGCATTTTTATCTGCATTAAAAGAACCTGAAAATCCAAAATCACCTATTAGTACACAAGATTATATAAATGGTTATCGAGAATTAGTAAAGTGAGCCTCTTTTTTTCTTTATTACAAAAGAGAATATAAATATTCTCCTCTGACTAGATTTGATTAGATAGAGAAAGAAAAAAAACTGAAGAATTCACTAGAGAAATCAATCTCATTTTTATTATTATGAAAACTGAAATTAGTTTTCTTTGTTTTTTTTTCTAATAGATTTTTTGATCAACTTGGTTATGTATTTAAATTTGTTAAAGATGATGTTGTTTCAAAATTAACTATTTTACAACATTTTGTTGATCAAGATAATGGTGATACACCTCATTATGATACAATACAAAAGGCAATTGATTATGAAACAGATAATAATTTGATTAAAACATATCCCGAAAATTTTCCTCGAACTTTATTAAGACTTCATCGTGCTTTAATTTTTATTGAAGAATTTCTTCGAGGTTTAAGTGAACGACCATCATCTGATAGTACAGTTACAATTGCAACAAATGCTTATGATTCAACATTATATTATCATCGTAAGTTTAAATATTAATTAGCATATAATATGTTAAGATCGAATCTATACTGATACCACTTACTGTCCTCTTTCTTTTCATATAAACATAATTAAAATGTCTCTAAAATTTTACAAGTATCCCATAGGCAATTTGAGACCAGTCGATCTAATCTACATAGTCTGATACAAGTATTAGTCATCAAAAATTTAGGTTACTTCGATCTTTGTTGAAAGATATGATAAAGAATTATTTGTCAGGCTTCAATGATAATTATTATTTATTGTCAAAATGAAAATAAGCAGAAATTTCTCATTATTTACAAATTAAATATCATATTGACAGTATGTAATTAGACGTTAAATAAATGCCAACAGCTGTACTATTGAAATATCTCAACAGCATTTCTACTTTCTTCTATATTAGTCAAATCAAAATGCATGAATGACAGATTTTTGACTGCTGTATAATTAGAGATATTTGTTTTTTGAAAACTTACAAATCATGAAAATTTTTTTCTTTAGATGGTTTTCTTATTCGTACAACCGTCAAAGTTGGTTTTCGTGCATTACCATCTCGTAAACAATTAGATGAAATACTCTTTCATGGTCAAAAATCAAATATGATTGAACAATATAAAACATTTATTAAAACAATCAAACAAATTTATGATATTATTGAAGAATATTATGCAGAAAAAAAATATTTACAATTACCATAAATTTACATTAGAAAAATCAAGTAGCGCGCATTGACTTCTATAGAATATTATATTATTTATTTTTCGCGTATAACCGTCCAAAATCTATTTGTAGTATTTCCTTATATGTGTCCTCGGTTCATTGTCTTATCTGATATAAACATTAAGATTTTTCAATTTTTACATTTTCTTTCAGCAAAAACTAAAACACTGTATAGGCTTTCTTTTTGTGCATTTGTTGTCGTTTTGTACTAATCATTTATTTGACATCTACGCTTTGTTTTGTATGTATTGAAAGGTGACAATCGAGTGTTGTTTTAGTTTTTTCTTTCTTCATATGTCATATTAACATGTTTTTATATATATATATATATATACATATATTTATCTTCCTTCTTTGTGCGTACATATTAATAGCACTTTCTTAAAAATGCTTGAAAAATAAAACATAAGATTATTTATGATGGAAGAACAATAAAGCTTGATTAATCTGAAATTTTGTCTTAATGAAGCAACGTTCGTCAAAGTAAAAGCTTTAAAAAAATAGGTTTGATCATGTCTGCATGTGTCATATTATTTACTTAAGAAGTTGAGTTCTTATATTCAATTTTGATTAGAATTATTATTAATATAGAAATATGCTAGACGTTTTGTCAATAGAAATTTTATCTACTATACTCAATTTAATGTAATCATGTTTTGTTTCTTTTTGTCTTGTCATATTGATAATAAAATTGCAATTTTGAATAGACAAAGAATAAAATATTTGTGTGCGCATGTGAATTGAATTAAACATTAAAAAAAAAGCGACAAACTTAGAACTTTCTAGAAAAATACCACACCACTTGAAAATGAGAAACGCAGGAGTAAACAGAAGAAAGAAAAAAATCGAAAAGAATTTAAACAAAAACAAGCAAATTATAGGGAATTGATTCTTTTGCACATAGTATATAAGAATCTATTCAATCGATAATAATGTTTTATGATATTTTTGTTTTCTTCATGATGTTGAATAAGACGAGGGATGATAATAGAAGGGAAACCAGAAATAGCAGCAACGGCGACAACAAATACTTGATGTATGTAAATGACCACAAATAAAAGATAATTTTGTGCTTTAACAAAACGAAAAGCGAAAGCAAAGGAAAAAAAGAAAGAAATATAGACACGAAAGAGCACGAAAATTCATCACGTGAATAATAAAAAGAAATAGTAGCAGAAAACTCAAATCTTTCGATAAGAATAATCGAAATAGGATTGAAGAAGAAAAAAAAGAATACACACACACACACGTACACAATAAATCGCCTAGTAATTATGTTTTTTTCTTTATGTACTAAGCTAAAGGAAGAGACAAAAAAGAAAGAAGAAGGATATTCATATAGTATTGAAATCGTAATAATGATAATTGTTATAAGAAATAATAGTAATAATGATAATACTTGCCCTTGCTTAGAGTGCGGAGAAACACCGACGAGAAAAAGAAAGAGAGAGAGAGACAGAAAGCAAAACAACGTACAACACGAAACAACAATTAAGTTGTAAAATAAAACTAAAACACATTTATGCTCTGGGTGCAGCTGTGTCATTAGTTGCTGCTGCATTATAACCTGAAGCACGTCGTTTTCGTATAAGTAATATAATCAAGCCAATAAGTAAGAGACCAGCTATTGCTGCAATAATAAGTATGATCGGTAACCAACCGAGTCCTTTCTTAGGTGGTGGTGCTGAATCATCCGACATTCCAGCTGAAGCTGCATCTTTCGATTGATTTGGATCAGATGGTGGATGATGTTCATGCTCGCCACCTTCACCTTGTCCAGTTTCAGCACCTTTTTCAGCTTGAGGATTTTCGGTATCATCTCCTCCTTGTTGATTTTCACCGCCATCACCTGATGGTTGTTGATCATTAACTTCATTTGGATTTGCATTTGGATCTATAATAATACAAAATACATTCATTTAATAATGATATATTTCAAATTTATTAGCATCATCATGTTTCTTTTTGTATGAATGTTAAAAAGAAGTAAAGGCGAAAAATTTCGAAATGAATATATCATTTATATTGTCAATGAAAGCAGCAATAGCTTTGAAATTCTTTTTTTGTTATAATCAATTGTCAATGCTTTATTTTTCATTTACTTCGGTAATCAAATGATTCATAGTCCCAGGGAACCTGTGATTTTCCATTATTCCGTTCATTTGGACTTATAAAATGTTTTGGTGGATATTCATTTTCTGTTCCAGGTATATTATTAATATGTTGAGAATATATTGGTGATCGATAGTCTGAAACCATTTTAAAAGTTTCTTTTTTCTTGTCTTAGTAGAGTTTTTATTTTACAGTTTTATAAGTTTTCAAAAGATTTTTACTTAAAATAATTATCATTTATCTTACCTGGATGATAAGGATGATCAGCTTGTCCAGATTGCCACGAATTTCCATCAGCAGGATTTTGATGTTGATCATAATTTGGTGTAGTTGGTTGTTTTGTTTTTGGTCGTCGTTTTCTCGTTTGACCAGCTGGTGTTGCACTATCTTGTTGTTGTTGTTGTTCATCACCTTGTTGATCATTTGTTTGTTGGGGTGCTGATTGTTGAACTTTTTCTTGATCTTGACGTGTTATTTGAAATGGTGCAGTATATACTTTTGATTCACGTTGATGTAATGCATTACTACCATCTAAACGGCTGATAGTTGGTGGTGCTTTGAATGTACGTGTTGTTGCATCATAATTATTTTTAATTGTTGCACAGGATGATTGGTCACAATTTTGAGCATCACATGGATATCGTCCAGTTGCTGCATCCAAATAAGCTGATGCACATGTACACTCACGTCCACTTGAAATAGCTGAAGAAAAAAAAGAATTATTAATAGAAGAAGAAAACATTTTCATCTATTTCTTTTTACCTTGTACAGCAATTTGTCCATTACCCAATTTTTCAATTAATTGACATTGTTCTCTGTCATCAAGTTTTTCAAGATTTGTATGAAATTCTTTAAGACTAGGTAGACTATTTAAAATTTCTAATGATGGTTTGGTATCTTTAATAGTTAATTTTTCTAAATTATTTAAACCAACAAATGCATGTGGATCAATATCTTTTTCAGTTGTAACAGATAATGTATGTAAATTTGGATAATTTCGAAAAGCATTAGCTGGTATACGTTCTTGACTATAAATACGTAATTCACCTAAATTTGAATAATTTGGTGGATTATCACTATTAAAATCAGTAACATAGAAAGCATCAATAATTAATTCATGTGCTGGATAGATAGGAAAATTTTGTACATTCAATTGACCAGCCTGTTTAGCTAATTCTAATCGACCAATATTTCCTGTAAATGGTTGAGATAAATCTGATTTGATATCTCCACCACTTAAACGTAAATATTTAACATTTGCTCCAGCAAATAATTGTTGAAATGTTCCACGAAATGGATATAAAACATACAATTCTAATGAATCAATATTTAAATTTGCAAATAAATTGACATTATCATTTGGTTGAACAAGTGGATTGTAAATTTCCAATGCCTGTCAAAACAAAAAAATAAAATGACATATTTAGTTTTTTTATGAAATTTAATAAAAATTTTACCAAATGTTTTCGAGCTGTTGGTGATGCATTCTCAGGAAATATTCGATTGAATACACCTGGTGATGATAAATGTAATCCAGTAAATTTTTCAAATTTAATACGACATTCCAAATTATCCGAATCAGGTTTAAATAATTGTTTGACCGGTTCAAATGTATAATCATTAACATTATGATCACGTTCACCATTAATAATTAATTCGACTGATGGATATTTATGTTGTTCACCTGCTAAGACATTAAGTTGTTGTGGTAAATCACGATCCGTTGTACATGTTACACGCTGACTTGAACATTGACAATCAAAACCTTCTATAGCTTGACAGTATGTAGGATCAGATTGTCGACGTGAAATTGTTTTACGAAGTAATGTTGTTGAAGATAATGATACCAATAGTATCAAAGATAACAACGTTGTACGTAGCATTTTAGCTGCTATTATCAATTTAAATGAGTAAAAGGCGAGGAGAAAAGCAAATATATTATTTGCACAAATACGTTATTGAACTAACAGAACACAGTAGTATGTCGATTTTTGTACCGACTAATGAACCAAAAACAATCTGTTGTAATACAAATATATGATGAATTATTGATTAATTTGAAATGGAACTTACTATTTTCGTTTAATTAAATAAATTCATTGATTGAAAAAAGAAAACGTAAATAATATCGTATTGATCTGAAATTATAGAAGAAAATATTGTCTCATAATTTTATATAATAATTATTTATACACATGTGTCTGCATCTCATTACGCAATAATCTTGAGATCTAAGCGTCTGGAAAATATGAGAAGAAATATATGTATACGTATAAGTAGTATGTCTACCACTCTCTTTTTCTTTCCTTCATCTTCGTCTTCTTCTTCTTCTTCTTCTGGAGTACTTTAGTGATCATCGATCAATGAATTAGTCTCTTTCTCTCTCAATGTTGCTTATTCTCGGCTTACAGATATTATTCATATTTCGACGGATAGATTACGACTAGATTATTATTGTTAGTCATAGGGAAGACACTGGTGTCGAAACATAGTAGACAAAACATACGCTCAAGGCATACTGTGAGGGTAACATTTGAGTAACATAAAAAAAAATAATATATATATGCAATAAAATAGAGAGTACATGTGAAGAAATGATGAAGCGCATAGCGAATAAATGAAGAAAGAAAACGAACAGCTCAAAAAAGTGAGAGTATAAAAGTATACTTGTCCTTCCTATATGTGTTCAATCAGCCCGTCTGCCTATCGGCGATAATGATATTGATCAATGGAATAGGTAAAGAAAAAAGAAAATTGAAAATTGAAAGGCAAACCGTAGTAAAATTACAGCATAAAAGAAACGTAAAGAAGAAAAAAAAAAGAAGCAGCGGCGTTCGTTCCTTTTTTTTCTAAATTGAACATTGTTGTCGCCGTCACTATTCATTGTAAACAAAATTTACTCAATAGTAGTAATGTGTAAATTTAGCAGACACTCTCGTACTATTTCATCTATTCTCTTCTCGTAGCGGTCTACTATCGACATGAATATGTGAATGTACATGTATTTTACATAATGGATGCAGAATAGAGAAAGGGGAATAGAGACGAAGAAAGAAGAGAAGAAAAAAAGGTACTACAGTCGTTGCTGACGCTACATCGACTTCTTCGTTGGTGATGGTTACGATCGTTGTGATAATAATAGTAGTTTTATGTTGCGGTTACAAACCAACATATAATCAAAGAAAAAAAAATTATTGTAGAAAGAGAACAGTTCTATCTTTCTCTATTTCTCTCCCTATTGCCTTTGTTCGTAACGCGTTTAGCTCATTACACATTTTTACGTCAAAAATGAATGCCGATTTAGCGATTGCATGTTAATATTACTGATATGGCTGATGCTGCTGCTACTGCTGTTCTTATTATTGCTTACGATATTCTTATCTGGCCATCACATAGACTCGTCTCAATAAGTTAAGAAAGACAATAAAAGGCAAAAAAAAAGATAGAACAAATAAAAAAAAGAAGAAGAAGAAGAAGAGTATATCCAGACCAGAAGGAATCAAGAGAATATCACTCTCTTGTGGGTAAAATAAAATATAGCAATATTAGAAAAAGACAGATCGATTTTTTTCTCGTAATATCAATACAAGTAACTATGAGTTGGCGGTTAGTTTAGCTATATGATAGTATATCTGTCTATCTGTCAATAATGAATTATACCTCGGCTTTTCTCATTGTCAAGCAAAATTTATGATGAAAAACCTTGAAGACTCGTCGTCTCGAGGATAAACTTGGTTGACCAATAATTTGTCAATGTCGTCTTTTCTTCTGATGTTTGAGAACTCATTTTTCTTTCTCTCAATTCTTTGTGAATCGTTGCACCATTGTTTTTTTTTCAATGAAAGCACATCTGTAATCGACAAACTCGTCTATAGTCAATGATGCTGAGAATGATCATTACCTTTTATTTGCTTCAATATAACTCAAGTAAAAAACGACCAGATGGAGAAAGAAAACCTTCAAAGTACGAGCTTCGTGATTAAATATATATATATATATATGTGTGTGTATATATGTGTGTCCCCTAACATATAAGCAAACAAAAGACTAGAAAAACGCAACAAAGAAGAAAAAAATCGGTATCAGCTGTGATTCTATACCACGGAATTTCGGTCTGGAGTGATATATGCGTACGGACGCTTACTAATATAGAAATATATATAGATATAACACGTCATTACATGTAAGACACCAACATATTCACATTAATGGTCAGAATGTTAGCTTATCAGCTCTTATACATGTGTTGTATATGTGTGTTTAAAAAGTGGAATCTCTTTCTCTCTTATTTCTCGTCTTACTCTATCATGAATATGAGGGTCAGAACACAAAGAAAAGAAAGAAAAATGAGAAGAATATGGATGAAGAGAATGACCTTTGCTAGTAACATCCCTGCTCATATTGGCAGGCGATCGACTCGTCAATTTTACTACCGATGATAGAAAGCGATGATCCATTCACCTCATATAAATATACTATATCTTTAGGCTATTACTTCAGTTACCAGTTTTTTTTTAACAAAGTTTACCTCTTATCTCGATGCTTTAAAGCAAATATATGTATAAGAGAGAGAGACCAAGAGAAAGAAACAAAGAACAAGAGTATAAGAAGATTAGCGATTGTTGTTATTTAGTCTTGATAACGTTACGATTATTATTAAATAGAAAAAAAAAGAATTAAGTATTAATTTTCTTTTTCTATGATCGATCATAAAAACTAATACACAAAAGAAACTATCGAGAGATCATATTATCATACACATCTATTATTATTATTATATTCGGCTTCTCTTTTTTCGATTTACTTATATATATATATCTATCTATCTATCTATATACAGACTATTCTCATGGGTAATATAAGGTGTTAGTAGTTCTATTAGTAGGAAAATATTTCTACGATCTAGATCTCTATGTCTACTAATTAAATGAAATACTTGACGTTTTTTCTATTTTTTTTTAACTGATCTTATATAATTACATAGAAATGTATTCATCAAGGGATTTAATCTATATAAATGTCTACCAGACACAAAAGGCGATGAAACCATTAAAAAATATGACTATCTTTTATAGTAATTACTCACCTTCTTCTATATCTATCTAATTAAAATAGTCTTCTTTTGTTTTATCAATCTTCTATACATTCATCACATATTCATATATAAAACTAATATAATAGATAAATCAAATAAAACTGAAGAAAAACATAGAGAACGAAAGAAGAAGAAGAAGAAAAAGAAGATTGTACGAGTCACAAATGTTAGCTTCTTTTTATTGCTGATGCCCCCACCAGTAAAATAAGCGGAAATTGAATTTTTACTATTAGTTGTTATTGAGGCAAAAAAAACTTAATCATGATATAATTAGTATCAATAAGATGTGTCCTGTCTTCCACTCTAATTTGCTTCGAGTGCCTATTAATAAACAAGCACGTTCCGCCTCTACTATTTCCTCGTTCTTCTTATTATAACACAAATAAATTTATTTAGACATTCCTACTTATATTTCAAATTTGTATAGTCGATTTACAACAAAATACATTATGTGATTTATGTTCATTATGAAAAGGAGAGAGAGAGAGAAAAAAAAGAAACCTTCACCTTTTATGACGGTTGAAGGACATTATTAACAATTGCTGGTAATGAACGTCAAACTAAAGTGAATGAAAAAAAATAAAAAACTAAGAACGAAGAAACCTGTTATACGATAAGGCACTCATACAGATTATAATATATTAATACAATTATATTCTATTAAATTCTGTTATTCTTATGCGATAATACTAGAAAGAAATAAGAAGAATAAAAAAAAAGAATTGTGTAAGTAACCCTTTTCTAACATTTATACCTTTATAAATATAAATAAATATATATTAACAACGATGAAATAATTTAGTTTTAACAGCGTTCAGGTGTAAATATTCATAAGAACAGGAAGGGTAGGCATGGAGAAAAAGTATGAACAAAATGAGTTTTGTGCGTACACTCTGTCAATTGTCCTTGGAGAGCAACGAGAAAGAGAGCAGGAAAATCGATGTGCAAAGATAGGATGGTAATGGTAGTTAGTCGCTCTCATTTTTTTTGTCTGTCCTTCGTATATGGATATGTGTCACAAGTTTTTTAAGATCAGTAGTAGAAGCATGTACACAGAAGAGAAATAAAGAGAAAGAGAGACATCGAAAAGAAAAAAAAACAGAACCGCAGAGATTTATTTCATCTATCAATAATAGTTGGTACATCATTACACATAAATTACTAAATAGGTTTTATCAAGGTTTAATTTCAAATTGAGCAGAAACATAAGTTATGAAGATTAAAATAATGTGCTATTGAAAGAGTTATTCAATTATTCATGCTATCTATTATTCTTATTCTTCATTTTGAATCTTATCTTAACACAAAAAAAAGAAAGAAATTTGATTCTTTTGATAAAAATTTTATGAAATAAGTTCCTTAAAAGATAACAGTAACTCTAACCATTCAATGAATACCTGTCTACACGCATTCTGATTAAAAGTGTTTTTTGTAATAAAAAAGACACCTTTTTTTTCTTTTTCTTTTTATCGGCGGTTTTTTCTCGCTTGAAATCCTCTTCATTCGTCTATAGGTATTTCTCTTTTCTCTTCTTTTTCTACCCCCGGTTTATTCAACACACACACACACACACACACATACACATCTGTTAGACAAATGTGTCGCATGGAAGTGTTTGAAACCTTTTAGAAGAGCCACTAAAACCTAAAGATAACACATTAGATCGCACTGTGCAATGGCGATAATGATAATGAAGACTAAGAGAAAAAATGTCACACAAAATACTTGTTTAACAGAATAATATGTATATTACTCAAGAAAAAAAAAGCAACTACTAGTTCCGGAGGCTGCTTTTAACAACATTAACTGTAGTATACTTGTTTAGATTAAACTGAACCGTAACAAAAGAATTATTTTTTCTTTATTTCTCGTCTAGTTTTTCTTTGGTAGCTTTCGATTGTTATTTGTTCGGTAATGACAAAAAAAGAAGAAGAATGACTATGAAAGAAAATAGGAACTAGCCTCTTTTCCGGACAGACCGACTAACATATATGTATTGAATTTCGGCAAGCGCGTGCGATAGAGTTCAATCATAATCTAAGCGTGCATACATGCATGCATGCAGACGAATACCGTATATAGTCAAGAAGAAATCTAAGGAAATAGAGACGAAGGAAATAACTATTTCTGATTTGCAAATCGAGTTTTTTTTTCTTCTTTCAATTTGATCTGTTCTTTTCTCTTTCTAACGAACAGCAAAAAAAAACATCAAAAGGGACATACAGAATAGGATAGTTTCCCAAATTAAAAAACCATCGTGATGATTGATCATCTATCTTTTTTTTTGCCTATCGTAAATCGTGTATTCAATTGTCATGTATGTGTGAGTACGTGCGCGTTCAGTTGCTAATTAATCTTCAAGAGAGATAATCGACATAAAAAAGCATGATGCGATAATAAATAGTCATAGAATGAGAGTAACCGAGTAACACACAAATAAAAGAAGAAAAAAAGAAGAAAATTACCTAATAGTCACTAAGTATAAATAAAAAGAAAGAAAAAGATGTTGTCATCATTATTCTTTTTTATTCTCTTATTTTACATGTCGATCGATATAACGATAGAAAAGGGAAGACATTCATCTCTATAAAGGATGGAATCAATAGTTAGGTCAAGGAGAATAGTTATTGGAGATTGATTGTGTAGAAAGATATTTCAAATAATTTTAAAAGGATTCTTTTTGCACAGATGATGATTTAATTTTTTTTTGTGTCGCTATTCTCTTTTACAACATACACAAAAATCGGTGTACATATTTTAAAGTGATTGTATTGTTCAATTCTCAAAATGTAAAAACGCACTTCATATACCTATAAATGCTGCTTTAAGACAAATAGCTAATAATCAATGAGAGTAGACTGAAAAAAGGACGAGTAAAAAAGAGGAAGAAATTAATTGTCTCTGAACTAGTAAGAATGTTTTGACAAAGCTGTCGCTTATATTTATTCTCAAGGGCCACATTAGCACATTCATTCTCAATCAAAAACGTAAGAAAAATACATGCAAATGTGCACATTTCATCGAAGAACTAAGTCAAGTGCGGAGCATCTGGCTGAACTCACGTGATGATCGATCTGATGTCATAAACTTTTCTCCATCTGTTTATAAGCATCTATATACTATTCATTTTTCACAATGACAATTCTTACCTCTTAACAACTTCCATAATAAACTCTATTTTTGCATGCAAAAGAAAAGAATAAAGAATTCTCACTCTTTTGTAAAGTATTAGTATAAACTGTTTTGTTTTCTCTATATCATCAATTCTGAGGTATCAATTACATATCACATTGTCTTATATGTAAACTTAGAAGAAGGCTATATATATATACAACAAAGCATATAGTTACGTGAAATGTAACGGAAAACAAAGACGACATCATCAAAAAAAAAAAAGAAAAAAAAGAAAGAAGAAATTCTCTCAGACAATAGTATTATTACTTAGTCTAATGTAAAATTATTTTAAAGCAAATAAACTTATAAAACAATTTGCATTATAATCAGTATTTTCTAATATTGCATCATTGAATGTGAGTGATGAAATTACTTTTGTTATATACATATGTTGTGTCTGTCAGTTCTAAGTGACTTGGTAATCGATGTGTTTAGAAGAAAACGTCAGCATTGATAGTGATGAGAATAAAGATCAATTAATCTTTTTCTGCTATATGTGAGATATGGCTTTCTTTAATAATAAGTTTATCTTATGTGCATATATATATATATACAAGAAAAAGACACTTACAATTCCCCAAACAGTCATCTTCTTGACCGTATATATATATGCGTCAAGAGAGTTGACCTATCTTCTTATGTCTCGCATTTCTTTTTATACTTTCATAGTTACCCTTACGTATACATACGTATTCGTTGCTCGGACGATGAGAAAAAGATCGAACACCATTTCGCGACAGATAATAAATAAGATGTAGTCTATACAAAGAAGCTTTAGAGAAAGAAAAAGTATATGTGTGAAGAAGAAGAAGAAGAGAGATCAACACGATTGTTATTTATGTTCTTCTTCTTCTTCTTGGTTACTTCAATTTTTCTTTCGTGATGAATGCAACTTTCTGAAGAGAATGTTTGATCAGTAGGGTGTAGACTATAACCAATACTCTTCAGTATAATATAGTAGAGTTAATCAACCAAACAAGACCCTTTACAATAATGTTGATCATTACGAAGACAACGTAATCGATGTGTCAATGTTTGATTGTTGTCTGTACATTCAATGAGAAAAAGAAAATTGAAAATTAAAATATAGACATCACACAATGTCTAAAATGAAAACTAATAAAGCAATCAAAAAAAAAATAGTGTATAACTAATATTATTGCAACTACTTGTATTATTTCAAGGTAAAAGCCTTGATGGAATTATGAATGCCTGGCACGATGACGTATAGAGACGTAAACAAAGTAATGTATATAGACGGAGTGAAAAAAAGAAAAATTAAAAAACTATTTTTCTTGAAAAAGAAAAAACTACCGGAAAAAGTTTTTCTTTTTTTGACAATAAACTTAATTTATTATTCATTCATCATGCATTTTTAAGTTTGATCAATTCGATCTTTTATACTTACAAATTGCCATTTTCCATTTCATTTAATATATTAATGTATAGACATACAGACAAAAAAAAACGTTTTTTTTTTCTTCTTCTAATAAACCTGTTATTATTGATAGAATTTATATAAACATGTTGAATATTTGACAGTTGACAAGGGAATAAAAAGAAAAACGATGAGCTTAATATTTCTACCAAGGTCATAGCCATTCTGTCTCGCTTAAAGCATAATAATATTTCTGATGATTGATCGACATTGATCGTTTTTTTCTTTTTTTGTTGAACAATTATCAACATAAAACTATTACGTAACTTATATACACATAACTCCACCTGTCTCTTTTTTTTGTTGGCCGGAGGTTGTAGTAGTTACTGACCTTGTTTGCTTTCATATTTACATTTAAGAGGAGACATTATATTATGTTAACCTTCAACTTACACTTACTTGCTTAGTTCAACATAATTTGACAATGACATTATTCTCCATATCTTTTTTTCTTCTTCTCTTCACTTCCTTTTTATTATTGTTCTTTTCTAGAAAATGAGCATCATAAACTATTGAAAAAAACGAAGAAGAACGAGCACCATGTGTATATATTATCTTAATGGGTCGGACATTCTATTGTTTAAATGAAAACAGTGTCATTGAATTAATAAATATTCATTATTCGAACAAATGATATAGCTTTTATGCTTTGAAAAGTTCAATGGACATCTTAACATATGTGTACATCCATGAAGTCAATTGGTTCTAGAATGGCAACTGCTGCTGTTTATAGTTGAAGAAGATATATACGTATGGAATGATGTAATGATTATCGCGATACCATATATGTATCATTACCCATCACTAAGGTCGGCCATTTGTATGTATCAGTCTTTCTATTATTCTTCGATTAGAGACATATGTACATCAAATCTTATCATCGCCGTTTGTAGTACCGATTATGAACTACCTTGAAAAAGGTCGAATAATAAAGTAGATCTTCATGTACTTTATTTCTACCCGTTATCGATCATTGATTGCTCTTATTGAAATAAAAATTCCCCGATGATATTATCAAATGAAATAATAAGAGAGACGAGAAGAAGAAAAAAGTTCTCGTCATTCCCTATGGAAATCAAATGTATACTCATAAATATTTGATAAAAAGATAACCAATAGAATATATACAATTCTATTTCAAATATTCTCTTTGTAAGAAATAGTGAATATATTATCACAGAGAAGAAGAAAAAAAAAGAAATCTTAAAACATCTTTCGTATGAAAAATATATAATACATGAAATTGTTGCATAAAACTTCTCAGACAATGACAAGGACAATAAGCATGCTAATAAAAAATCAAAGGTCATTCATCATCATTGTATTCGACAAATATGCACATATATATGCCGGCATATTATGATTATGCAACTAACATGACAAAGAAAATTGAATATATCACTTTTCATAAAACAAAACATACATATATATATATAATCAATAAAATACTAAGATTTGACTGGTAAATAATTTTATTTTTTACCGGATATTAAATTGAGAATATATCTAATAGTTTTGTATCATTTAATTCTATATTTATTTTTAAATAGTTAATTAAAATTAATCCACATATTGTGACAGAAAATCCCACAAGACATGCAATAATATCAACAAATGTTAATAAACGCCATTCACGAAATAGTATACTGTTGTTACAATTGATGTTGAAAATATATCTAATGCTTTATTAAGATAAATCATTTGTATTAAAATACAGATTATAACTACTTATGAGTATAGAATTCTTCTAAACCAATAGCAATACCTTTACATGCTGTTATAGTAAAAGCACCCAAAAGTGAACAAATTAATATATAAATATGAACATATTGAGGACCTAAACGTGGAACATAATAAAATATTAAACATAATAGTCCAATACATATAATGAATGAAAAGAAAAGAAATTCTAAAATTAAATATAAGTAATAGTAAGTAATTATACATTTTTAATATATTTTCTTTTGGTGCATGAATTACAATAATAACTGAACCACATACTGTAAGAAGACAACCAATTCTACTAAGTATATTTAATTTTTCATCTAGAAATCGAACAGCCATTAAAGCACTAGTGTGTATAAATAGAAACTATTGAAATAGAAATAAATTCTAAATATAGAAATGTACCGAACTAAAACTGATAATGCACCAAGTGGCGTGACAAGTAATGCAGGAGCAAATCCATAGGCTACAAAATTACATATTTCTCCAATTCCCCATTGTTATCAAACCAATCCACCATTGTATTTCATATAAATAACCAAAACCACCTGATAATTGAAGTAGGCCTTTCTTTTTTAAAACAAAACTTGAACCGATAAATAAACTTGACAAAAGTACTAATGAAATTCCAATAAAAAACTCATTTGATTTCATCGAATGAAACAAAAACATTCTATCTAGTTTCAAGTCATTTACTTGTTATGTTTATCATATTGAAATAATATATGCCAAAAAAACCAATGGCCATATTTATTCAAGAAAACAGACGATCGCCTGATCTTTCATTTCCTTTTTATTTCTTTGTCTTTAACCTCGAAAAGGAAAAAAAAACAACGTCAAACTTTCTACTCCATAATCATCCCATCACCACCTGACAAAAAGAATCATAAGAATACATGCAAAATGAGAAACAAACAAAATAGAATAACAAAAAAAAAAAATGAAATGAGATAGCTGTTTGTTGTACAAAAGAAAAATTTTCTTGTTTTTCTAGTTTTTTGTCCAATAGTATCAAGAATATATAAAAGAAAAAACGACGAGAAAAAGCTGAACATTATCTCAATATGAGATAAAAAAAAAATTCCTGATTCTAAAGATAAATCAAAAACTGTTTAACTTGTTATTGATGATTTAATATGATCAGGTAATAAATTATTTGTATATCTATTCCACATTTTTATAAAAATTTCTTCTATATGTTGCGTATATAGTGCTGTATCAAATAATGGACTTGTTAAACGACGTGACCAAACTTTTGCACGAATAGATTTCAGATACATCGAGTCATTACCAAGACGAACAGCGATATTTTCATAATCATCATAAGATTCAGCTACTAATTCTGGACAACCAAGAGTATGTAATAAAGATGCACCAACACGTGATGCTAATGTTTCAAGTGGAAGTGATATCATTGGTGTACCTATTCAGAAATAAATTCCTTTTAATTTATGTAGTGTGAGCTAAATACATTATTTAGTTTCCTAGAAACGAATCTTTTGAATATGAGATTTGGTTTTATTTTATATTTTCTTTTCAGCCCACTCGAACTGCAAATGACTTCCGTCAAAAAGCAATATCTGGTGCAGAAATGAAGCTTTTTATTATTAATCACTTTGTCAATATATCGTTGAAATTGAAGAAGGTTTTAGTAACTCTAGGCTATACATTGACCTTGATACAATTTCATACAAGATACGCTTCAAGAATTAGATAATAAGCATGTTAATAACTGTGACAATGATTTTATCACAAAAACTAATCAAAAAATCTTTCGAAACTAACCTGCCCATAGAACATCCATGCCAGTAGTATGACCATTACATAACGGTGTATCAAGACAAACATCAGCTAGTTGACCACGTCGAACATGTTCTTCTTTAGGTGCAACATTTGAAAAAATTAATCTTGATGATTCAATACCATAAAATGTTGCTGTTTGTATTAGATTTTCTTCACCTGCTATTGGAAAACGAAGAAGCCATAGTACACTTTTTGGTACACGTTTTAGGATCTATAATTTATATAACATAATAAGGATAAAAATAAGATATCAATTCTATTTTAAAACACTTACATTACACCAACAACGCATTGTTGTTGGATCAATTTTGTACAATTGATTAAAATTACAATAAACAATTGCATCTTCTGGTAAACCATATTGTGTTCGTGTTGTTAATAAAACTGTTTGAGGTACTTCTTCACCTGTTGCCGCACGACTACTAGTCTATTATATTAAAAATAATTTTTTCCATAGAAAGAAAATTTATTTTACTTGTAATGTTGTTGTACCATTTTGTGCTACTATACCATTAATACTAACTTCATTATGTCCTTGTTGTAATAACTGATGAACAACAGTTGCTTGTGGTAATTCAACTAATGAGGTAATGACTTCATCTTTACATTCATTTGTATTTGTTTTACCATTCTCTTTATCATCAGTAGATAATACTTTAACTGTCATGGTCTAAAAAAAAGAATCAAATGGAATAATTTCTATTTTATAAAATAAAATATATATTTACTTTAACATCACTTCTTTCAAGTATTGGTTTTAAATTTGTACCATTAACTATCGAACGATTATCAACTGTAGTTATTATATCATTAGGATTAGTTTGTTGACTTTCAATAATAACAGCTTTTTCAGTCATATGACTAAACATATTTGCATGATCACCAATGAAAAATGTATACGGCATATATGCAAGTTTTTCCGAATATTGAGCTGATAAGGATAATGGAGAAGTTATTTCATCGGTTATTAAATAATCCATATATGGAGCACCCGATGTATTCGGATAGCCAAGCCACATAACTTGAATAGGTGCTGGACGAAATGCAAAGATTTCATTACGGGCACCACGTGTATAACCATTTAGATTAACTAATATATGAATACCATCGGAATGTATTCGATCGGCCTGAAAAATAGAATGAAAAGTTTTTTATGTATATCTGATTGAAGGTTATAATTTTCATTATTCGGTATATTGAATTTCTAATATCGATGTAATTCTCTTACCGCTTGTCCATTGCATGTAATTGATGATAAATCAATAAAATGTTCTGCTTCACGTTGAATTTTTGCTCGAAATGCAGTGCCATCATCGGCACTTAATGAATAACAAAAGATTTCCACACGTTTACGATTATGTAAACCTGGTATACTTTGCATTAAATGTGCAGTTGGATGATTACAAAAATCTGAACTAACATAACCTATACGTAAACGATTCGTATTTATAGTTAAATTTTTTGAATGCATAAATGTTTTCTTATGTAATAATTGAATCTAAAAAAATATAAATAAAAGTGTTTGATTTTTAATATAGAATTATTCTTTACGCGTTCAAGACATAAAAGAGCATGTCGAGTAGCAATATTTCGTCGTTGTTCACCGGTTAATGGATATAACATACTATGATGTGGATGTACACTTGGTAAACGATTTTTATCAAGTTGTTCTTGAACAATTGAACAAATTTTATTTAAACGAATATCATATTCATTCCAATCACAGATAATCTAAACAAGGAAGTCTATTTTTTTGAAAAGAAAATAAATATTTTGATATACTTGTAAACAATGAGCTAAATTACAAAAAGCATCTGGAAAATCTGGTTTTAATTTGAGCGCTGTTTTATATGATTGTATTGCATCAACAATATTGCCGGTATCTTTATGTATAGATGCTAAATTTGAATGTGCATCAGCAAATGATGGATTTATTTGTATAGCACGTGTATAACATTGTAATGCACCTGTCACATCACCAATTTCTTTTAATGTATTACCAAGATTTGAATGTGCATCAGCAAACATTGGTTGAATACGTATTGCTTCTTTATAATGATTTAATGCATCATGTAAACGACCTTGTTGTTGTAAAACTGAGGCTAAATTTGAATGTGCAGCAGCAAAATTTGGTAAAATATCTAATGCACGAGTATATAGTTTAATTGCTTCATCTATTTGACCTTGTTCACGACGAATATTTGCTAAATTATTTAGAGAATCTGCATGGGTTGGACATTGAATAAGTGCAGTTTTGTAACATTCTTCAGCATCAGAGACCTATAATATAAGAGATTTCGTTTTGATATTCTTTACCAAAACGTCTCAGTTAAATTAGAAAATCGACATAAATACTCGGATAATTTATGATATAATTCATCTAATTTTTGATTAATAGAATTGTTCAATGGTACTAGAGCAAGAAGTTCTGAACGATTTTGTTTATTGAATAATCAAGTATACACTTATCCTAATTATTCAAGTGGTAATATGTGATTTTGTTCTCATTTAAAATTTCATAAACAAACCACTCGAACTAAAGTCTACACAAATTAAGACAAGATCTTTCTATCTTTCGGATACAAGTATCATTATTTCTGGTTATAGATAATTGTTTTATCAACAGAGCATACTATAATGTCTAAATATTTTTCTATGATTATTTCTATTTTTACACATTGTACGAATTATAGTACTGATTGAAATAGTAAAGCATTTTTCATCTATTTTAAACATTCTTATCTTTATATCTTAAAGTAGTCATATTCAAACGCCTTCTCTATCTTTTTGAAGGAGGAGGAGGACACAATTGATGAGAAAAAAACGCAGATGTAAGTACATACTTTGCCTTGCACTTTTAATGCATTAGCTAAATTACAATAAGCGTCGGGAAAATTTGATTGTAATTGTATAGCACGACGATAAGTTTCAATTGCTAAATCAATCAAACTAAATATAACGAGAAATGAAATTAAAGTTTTCATTTATTTGTAATTACCCTTGCTCGTAATAAGCACAAGCAAGATTTCCATGAACAATTGGATGATTGGGGGAAAGATTTAAAGCACGTAAATAAGCTGTTACAGCACTAGAAGAAATACAAAAATAAATATTTATTTGTATTTAAATAAAAAATAATTTACCGATCAAATATTCGTGCTTCTTTTAATACATTGCCTAAATTAATATGTGCATCAAGAAAATTCGGATCTAATGCAACTGCCTATCAACAAAAAAACACAATATATACATACATAAATAAATTAATTAATTTGAATTAACCTTTTCAAAATGATGAATAGCTAACCACATTTCACCTTGACAATTAAATATACATCCTAAATTGCTCCATGCTACAGCAAATGTTGGTTGAGTTTTAATCACTTTTAGATAGCATTCCTAATATTATAAAGCAATAATAAAATCATTTTTGATTTCTCTCACTATTTACCTTTGCTTCTTCTAAATAACCAAGTGCTTTCAAAAGATTTCCTAGATCATTTCTAACACCATATAAATCCTAGAAAAATAGTTTCATTTTTAAAGAAAAAAAATTAAATTGAACTTTACTGGATTATACTGTAATGCTGTTAAATAAGCGCTAACAGCACCTTCCATATCTGAATTAGCAATAAGAGCCGCTGCATAATTAATACTAAATTACAAAAAAAATCATATTTATCGAATAAAAATATTCAAATTATCTACATACTATCCATCAATAAAGTCTGGTTTCAATTGTAAAGCTTTAATATAATGATCAAGAGCTAAATGTAGAAGACCTTTTTCTTTATATACATTGGCTAAATTGGAATGAGCTTCGGCTAGATGTGGATCAAGTTTAGTTGCTAAAAGACTGTATTCCATTGATCTATGAAAATAAAAAAAAATATCGAATAAAAATAAACAAATTTTCATATTATTTACTGGTCATAACGACGCATTTGAAAATAAATTGAACTAAGTAAAAGTAATAAACTTGTATTATCTGGTTCTTGTTGATATAATTGAAGACAATATTGTTCTGCACGTTCATAATTTCCATTTTGATATTCACGATTTGCGCGATCAGCAATAGCTACACATACATATATATATATGTAAGAATACAAAAGAATTGTTTATGTATTACTTTGAAAATCAAATATATTACTAGGAGAACGTATAGAATTATGATGAGAATGATGATGATGATGTCTTTGATTTGGACTGGATAACATTACGGATGGTGATGATGATGATGGGGCAATTTTCATAGGAGATGTAGACGATAGAGTTTCTAAAAAAAGAAAAAAAAACAATAAGATTAGATTTTATATTTCTACAAAATATTTTTACCAGTTTGATTATTCATTATAAAGTGAGAAGTTGGGCTCATGCCTTAATAAACATAATCAACATTCTATTTATAGTTGAATATTACGTATATAATCTTGAATATAAGAAGAAAAATATAAATACCTATCCTATAGTAATTACCTTGTCTGTCTCATAAGAGCGAAGAAATAAAAAATTATTAGTTGATATTGTCAACAATATAGTAAGACAAGCAATGAGTAAGGATGAATCAGCTGGCAAACAGATGTCACTCCATGATAGAAGCCTATTAAATGATTAGGTATGACAACTTATAGATAATCAATTTTATGCGTATTTCTATATATAATTATACTTTAATTTACATTTTACTGATATATCTTTGATATATTTTTCAAAAAAAAACAGAAAGTCATAACATAAATTAATCTAAAAATATTCAATATTTTTTTTCATAGTAATACGATTAATATTTCTTCGAACTATTTCTATATTTGGATGTTTGGATGGTAAAAATTTTTCGTACAAAATCAAAGATTGCTGAAAATAATTAAGAGATATATCTGATTTGTGTATACATTGATAGATCATTCCAATATTATTTAAACTATCACCAATATCGACATGACCAAATGGATACATTTTTTCACGGATTTTAAGTCCTTGTTGATAATATTCAAGAGCTTCTTTGTACTTTTCTTCTTGATATAGAATAGTACCGATATGATCCAGAGTATATGCAATATCAGGATGATCAGAAATATATAATTTTTTTTGTATTTTAAGTGCATTTTGATAATAATAAATAGCTTCATCATATTTTCCTAGTCGATCAAGAACACATCCGATATTATTAAGATTCAAAGCAATATCGACATGATCTGATAAATAAAAATTTTCTTGTATTGTTAATGCTTGTAGATAATAATTTAAGGTTTCATCGTATTTATTTTGTTGATATAAAATATTACCAATATTATTAAGACTTCGAGCAATATCAATATGATCAAATGTATAATATTTTTTACGTATTTCAAATGATCGTTGATAATAATAAAGTGCTTGATTATATTTTCCACGATTGTACAATATAACTCCAATATTATTGAGAGTACCAGCAAGATCAATATGATCAGGAGGATATAAATTTTGTTGTATTTCTAATGCATGTTGACAGAAATCAAGAGCATCATTATATTTTCCTTGAATATTTAGAATAAGACCAATACTATTCAAGATACAAGCAATATCGATAAGATTATTTGGGTACAAACTCTGTTGTATTTTTAATGATTCTTGATAATGATCAGCAGCATTATCATATTTACCTATTTGATAAAAAATATTACCAATATTATTTAAATTTCGTGCAATATCAATACGATCAGAAGTATAAAACGTTTTCAAGATTCTTAATGCATGTTCATAATAATTAAAAGCTTCAGTAAAATGTCCTTGTGTATTTAAAATAAAAGCAATATTATTAAGAATTCGAACATTATCAATATGATCAGAATAATTAAAATTTTGTTTGATTTTTAATACACGTTGATAATACTCAAGAGCTTTAATATTGTGTCCATATTCATATGAGATAGTACCCAGTTTATTAAGCATGTAAGCTGCTTCTTGCCAACGTATTGGTTTCGTATCTATCATTCGTTCATATGCACGATTATAATATTCCTGTGCAATCTTCCATTCATTTTTAAAATCAAAAGTTCGACCAAGATTGAATTCTATCCAAGCGATTTCTTCTCCATTCACATCGGATAACAATCGTTCGAAGTACTTTTGTGCTTTATTATATTGACCTAAACTACACATCAATCTTCCAAAAATAATACGGATACTTTTTTCTTCGGATTCATTATATTTTTTCTTAAGATAATCTTTGAGAATTTCTTGTCCATCATTGGATACATTCAATTTTATCAGCCATACATGTGAATGCTGTTGAATACTTTTTAATCGAAATGTAATATTTATATCAAATAATACTTCTTCTTCATGAGGATAATCACTATATTGTGCAATATCAGCAAAACTAGTAGTATGACCATGTTCTTGAATATTACATTCAATTTCAAAAAGAACAGGTACAACATTTGTTCGTTTTGTCGGTTTCATAGCTGCAGAAAGTGCCAATGAATAGAGTCGATTAGCGATCAAATATTCATTCATAGATATAAGTGCATTTTGGTTTTTTCTAAATTTCTTTAATTGGTTTTTCGTTAGTTTAGTCCCATGATAAACAATAAGAATTTTTTCATTTGATAACAAAATCTTCTGATGTTTATCTGCAAGATTTTTTGTTAAATCGTCGATAAAGAAACGAAATATATACAATAGATCAATATCTTGATTTTTTAATGCTTTAGTTATATATTTAAAAATAAATGATTTATTTAAATACCAACGAATAGCTTGTTCTGATTGATATTCTTGTTCGAATTGATTAATCAATTTTTGTTTTTTTAAATTATCCTGATAATATTGTCGATACATATCAATCATCTGCTGTTTAGTTACATGATAATCACTAGATGATTGTAGAATAATTTGCGTGAAAAGTTGAGACCAAATAAATTGAGCTGATTCTTTTGATGTTTGATTTTGATTGAAAATGTTAAATGTTAATAATTGATTATCAGTAGAATTAATTTCTTTATGAATTGATGCACATAAGAAATCTAACTTTGTATAAATATCAATTATTTTTGAATTTGTAATTTTTAAATGTTCATATTTCGTTGTATCGGTACAAAGAATAAAGATAGCTTTGATTTGATGAAATTTACTAATTTGAGGTAAGAATTCAATAGTAGTAAGACCAGAAATAACCAAGAATATATTTTCTTTATCAATAGATTGAATAAAATTAAGACATTGTTCGAGTTCAGTATGAAAGATAAGAGAAGTGGTAATTCGTTGTAGAAGATTTTTTATCTGTTCAATATCTATATAACCGTTTATATTGAAGTCACACCAAAGTATAGTTACATTTTCTTTGTATTCATCAGTATCTTTGGCAATAGAATAATGATTGTCATGAAACGAACCCATTTATATTTGAAGATGGGGTTTTATTATTCTTCAATATATACTTGTTCTTGATAATATGAAACGGTTATCTGTAACGAAAGAAGAAAACGTACACCTTCAGATAGTTACGCACATCAATGAATGAATCATTCTTCTTTTTTTTTCTATAAAAAAATGTCGTCTTCAGTGTTGCTAGGTGCAAAACGTTCTTCCTTTCTAATGAATTTTTTTCCTCGTTATCGTTCTTACGTCTACGTTGACGTGTACTAGACCAGTAAGCATATGAGAGATTTCATTCATTTTTTTTCTTTGTACATCAATGATAATATTATAACCACTGCATTTTCAAAGTATTTCTTTATATCCATATAATATAACGAAAGTATTTGTCCTAAAAGCTTGTCTATCATTGTTCATATATTATTGTATTTAATTAATATGATGCGAAGCAAACCATTTCTGTAGTTCTTCGCGAGTTTAAATACAAAGTGAAAATATCGAAATCGAACTGATACTATTCATTTATGGGAAGCGTCGAAAAAATACGATTTTGACTTTTTCAGATTTCGAGATAATTAAAACGAAAAGCAGAAGTAAAAGTTAGGCACCACTTTTCTCTGACAACTGCTTTACGGCTGATAATATGAGTAGTGACACTAGATATACGTATAAGCTAACTACCTTTATATTTTGGGGATGTGGGTGGATGTGAGTACTTATAATATATATGGTATATCCATACCCTAATCCTAGAATTATAGATATATCCAAGTAAATAAATTATATAAACGATGTGATTTATAAATTAATGCTTTTTCAACGGAAGAACAACGTGTGACTATATTTCCATTAAATATAAGTACCGTCAGTAGAACCATATTAACTTAGTGATGTAAAAGCTTAATAAATACCTAAAATGTTACTTTGTTGTAAAAATTAACTGTTTTTTCGCACACATTTAATTTAGTTGATTTATTCCGATATCTGACGGTGTCCTCTGTGAAGCACTTAAGTGTGGTGGTCATTAAAAAATCAGAACTAATTGTAAGATATCTCTTTGAACGATTTCCCTCTTAGTCTGAATCCGAAATCAGAGGAGTATACTTAACTTCTCTATATTGTGAAATAAACTATAATTTATCATATCGTCAATACGTCTAAATTGATTAATATATTATTAGTAAGTGATTTTTCTTTTCATTTAATTCTAATTAACAATGAACACTCATTGGTTAATTCAATTAGAACATGTGTTAACGCATCTCGGAATATATATTGCAGTTTTTAACTTTTTCTTCATCATATGATGCCTCGTTCAACACTATTACAATTTAATTCCATATAAGTTGTTTTTCTTATTATTACAGGGAACACCCTCGTAAAGAATTACAGATGTACATATGTCTGAGAAGGTCATTTATACACATATATATGTATGTGTATTACCTTATCAGTCGGCTTTGTCCTTTACGTTTATATTATTTACAGAGTTATTCTCTGTACGCGCTTGCAAGTTACTAAAAAATAGAATTCAAAAACAAGCGAACAAAACATTCTTTTATTTATCAATTATTCTTCATAACTTCTTTTTCACAATTTCAATACTCTCTTTCACATTTTTAATACTAGGATGAGTTGGAGGTAATGCACGTTGTTTGATGTCCAGAGCACGTTCAAAATATGAAAGTGCTTTCGAATAGTTTCCCATGTTATCATACACATCACCGATGTTGTTGTATGAAGTAGCCAATAAAGGATGATTTGAAGGGAGGGTTTTTTCTAGAATTTCAAGTGCTTTTTCGTAATATGAAAGTGCTTTCGAGTACTCTCTCATGTAGTCATACACCAAACCGATGTTGTTGTATGAAATAGCCAATGAAGGATGATTCGCAGGAAGAATTTTTTGTTCAATTTCAAGTGTCATTTCGTAAAATGAAAGTGCTTTCGAGTACTCTCCCATGTTGTTATACACCAAACCTATGTTATTGTATGAAGTAGCCAAATCAGGATGATTTGACGGAAGAGTTTTTTGATCAATTTCAAGTGCTTTTTCGTAATATGAAAGTGCTTTCGAGTACTCTCCCATTTGTCTGTACGCCTCACCGATGTTGTTGTATGAAGTACCCAAATGAGAATGATTTGAAGGAAGAGTTTTTTCTTGAATTTCAAGTCCTTGTTCATAATACCAATTAGCCTTTTCATAATCACCCTGCGCATCTTTAACCACTCCCAACTGATTATAATAAAGCGCTTTTTCACCCTCTTTAGATGTCTGTTCGAGTAATACATTATAAAGTTCTTCTGCTTTATTAAATTGACCGATTTTAAGCAATAAGTTACCCAATCTTTGCCATCCAGTATTACCACCAGCTTCTTCTCGTATTCGATCAGTAAGTGATCGTAGTTGTTGATCATCATCCGATGTTAATTGTAATTCAACTTGATAAAGTTCATTCTTATTGCCCATTTGTTTAATTGCATTCACTCGAAAGACGGTGTGCATGGAGAAGAGAATTTCTTCTTCTTCTTTAAAATAACTCACTTCTTTGATGGAGGCAAATGGTGTTGATTTCAAACAAGGATCAATGAACATTATGAAAAGAATGCCAACCTTATTTGGTTCTGTTGAAGCACGTCCAGCAAAGTCGAGAGACACTTCTTTATCTTTACTGGTGGACAAGAAATTGTTAAATGACATAAGTCCACCTTTTGCTTTTTGAAGTTTGTCAAAGTCTGATTTCATAAGACCTTGTCCTCGATAAACTATAAAACGTTTTCTTCCATAACTACTGACTTGTTGTTCATGCAGCTGTTGAATTTGTTGATGTACATCACGTAGGAAGAAGCCCATATTAACGATTATATCGGCATCCATAAGTCGAAGTGCTTGATTGAGCATTTTGTAGGTAAAACACTCACGCGTATACCACCAGATTGCTTTTTGTGGATCATAGTCACGTTCGAATTCATTAATCACTTGTAATTCAATTGAATTGCCGGTAAAGACGTCACGGCAACAAACTGCTAAGTCCTTGATTGCCTTGCGATCATATTCGATATCAAGGAGAATCTCCTTGAACAGTTGGGTATACATGAAAGTTGGCTCCAACTGATTTAAATTATCAGCTGAAGCCATTTCATTTACCGCAAGAAAACTTACGGCAATTGTGTCCTGGTCACATTGTTTAACCACCACTTGTAATGCATGACAAATATCTTTGATACTTGTATGGACACCTTTAATTTTTTTCCAACTTTGAGCCCATCCTTCATATCTAGATTTGTTGCCACAGAAGATGTAAATAGCATCTAACTGTGGCATGCCATGAATTTCAGGAACCAAATGTTGACCTAATGAGCCTGATGTTATGACAAAGACTTGTTCCTTGTCAACCTTGTTGAGTGCTTCGATGCACTGATTCGATTGCGTGCATAGGTTGACATCGTTGACCACGTTCTTCAAATGAGCCAATGTATTCTGGCAGTCCTTGTCTGCTTGATCGATGTTGGCATCGATCCAAATGAGAAGGTAATTTGTAGCCCTACGTTGTCGTGATTGACGAACAGAAGACGCTGTTGCTTCATGAGACGATTTTACGGTTGGTTTTGTAGGTTTCGGGTCCATGGTATGTATGTATTAATAATTGGACGAGAATTGAATGTGATTGAAGAGCTGAAGAATTTGATGGTTAAGCAAAGCAAAGAAAAGAATACTGCTATTTATATGAGAATCAGATCTCTTTATCACAATGTGTTTATGGCATCATTAGCTATTTTTTCTATGTTTATTATTATTACCTATAATAAAACCCCCTATCTTGTGTATCACTCAACTTATATCATACAGCAAGGTGAGTAGAAGGGAGAAAAAAGAATTCGTTTTTTCCAACTTTCTTCTCAGATAGAAGACAATATCGCTAATAAAAAAACATATTTACTCTGCAAATAATGCATATCAACCGGCTCACTGCATTTGCTCATATTTTTAAATCGAATATTTAAATTATACAAGACGAAAAATCAAATGATTGTGTTCTTTTCTGTGAACGAGCAATAAAATCTGTTCAATCTTCTACACATATTAACAGTAAAAAGAGTAAATAATAATTAATATTAAACTCATTGTTCGATAAATTAACTATTTATTCAAGATTAAAATTATAATACTAACTATATGGTAGAAGTACCCGCTGTTGTAAGGAAAAGTCAGGTTAAGAATGCTGGTAAGATATATTAATGATATCAATATTGTCAAAATCTTTGGTTTTTATCTCAGTTCGTTGTCGAATGAATGAAAAAAACAATTGCAGTCTCCAACTTTTTGGATGGAACACTTACTGTAGTGCTCCAACAACAAGGTTACTAAGCAGAGCCCTAAATAGGTCTACCTGTTGTGGTCTGTGCAATTTGAACGACGTGGGTAGGTGTGAATATTATTTTCATCTCACATTCACATCCTCAGAAACTTGATTTTTCTCTCAAAAGATCTGTCGTCGTACGTACTATTTTAATTATGCAAGTTATATTTTTCTTATTTTATTATATTTTCAAGGATCTTTTGAAATGAATAGATAGTGTAGATGTTAATTAAAACTAGTCATCTATAAGTGATTGTCAATATATACAGTAATTAGCAGATGAAAATAATACAAACAATACAATTTTCAAGTAATCGACAGATTAATAAAGAATAATATTCGTATACACTTACTTACAATTATGTGAGATATTTATTTACCATTAACAATCGATTCCATGAAAATAAATCAGAAATATCTATCGTAGTGATATTCAACGATCCCTTTCAGTTTAATAATTATGTCTAATCGATAAGATTTCATTTTTTTCGAAACATAAAATTTGAAGGTTGTTAAATTTTATAATACTCTTTATAGAAGTTGTTTCACTATCATTCACACTGATGATGCACTGATATAAAGACCTCTGAAAAAAAGGATAGCTTTTTCACAAACTATTCTTCTTTAATTACTGGAATGATACCATCTGTCAACTGAATTTTTACAGTTATCTTGCAACATATCTAGCAATGTTTCCCCGAAAGAATAAAAGCGAAATATACATCCAAGTATCATAAATCTTATCTACAATAACAAATATCGTGTCTCTCCGCGAAAAAGAAAAGATGTTAAATTTACGTGAAAAAGTAAGTTTAATGTAGTTTTATGTTGAAAATTTAATATGTT